GTGTTGTGTCTTAGCGAGTCACTCATTCATGATGCTCTTCAAGAGGTGATGCAGTCTGCCTTCTCTGCGGGTCATAGCTCAAGTAACTCTACTCATTGGCTCATCGATTCAGCTGCTTTCAATCATATGATGAATCGAGTGGGTTCTTTCACATTGATGCGTCCTGTTTCTCAAAGATTATAAGTAGCTAATGGGACTATCTTACCTATTACGGGCATGGGTCAAGTAGTGGAGTCTAACCTCCACTTGAACAAGGCGCTGCACGTTCCTAAATTGGTTCCCAATTTAATCTCTGTTGGTCAACTTGCCGAGGAAGGATGTGATATAAAGTTTAATAATCATGGGTGTGTGGTGCAGGACTCGAAGACGGCGACGGAACTCGGCCGGGGTCATAAACATGGGCGTCTATATGTGATGGACTCTCTTCGTTCGAGTGGGCAGCAAGGGCGAAGGTTGTCTCGGGATGTGATATCAAGTGTTGCTGAGCAAGCTGCTTCCTATGATAGTTGTAGGGTGGATTCTTCTTCTTTTCCAGTTGTTCATGTTCGAAATTTTTTAAGTTCTGATGTACGGAATTCAGTTTGGGATCTTTGGCACTGCCGTTTGGGGCACCCTCATTCTACTCGTTTGTTACAGATGTTTAATCTTCGGTTGTTGCCTGGAAAATTTTGTGGTGCTTCTTTTACTCCTCCATCGTGTATTAGCTGTGTCGAAGCTAAGGCTACTCAACGCCCTTTTGCTTCCAGTTCTACAGTTTATGATGCTCCATTTGATCTTATTCTACTGACCTCTGGGGTCCGTCCCATGTTCCGTCTCGCAATGGTTTCCTATACTTCGCTCTGTTTATCGACCATCATACCCAATATACTTGGATTTATTTTTTGCTGCGTAAATCTGAGCTTCTTTCTTTTTCCCAGGACTTTATTCGCATGATACAGACGCAGTTTCAGAAGACTATTAAGGTCATTTGTTCGGACCCAGGTGGGGAGTTTATTTCAAATGATCTTCTAGCCTTCTATCGCTCGCAGGGTATTCTCAGTCAGCAGTCTTGTCCTGGGGTGTCCCAACAAAATGGCGTGGTTGAGCGTAAAAATCGCCATGTACTCGAGCTTACTCGTGCACTTTTGTTTCGTTCTGCGGTTCCTGCACGATTTTGGGTGGAAGCTGCTAACACAGTTGTTCATCTCATTAAACGCCAAATCACCCCGGTACTGGATAATATCTCCCCATTTTAGAAGTTGTATTCCAAGCTCCATGACTACAGTGCCTTACGTGTCTTTGGGTGCTTATGCTTTGTGCTTCTTCCTCGGAAGAAGCGGGATAAACTCCAGCCTAAGACAGCTCGGTGTGTGTTCATGGGCTACAGTGATCGCCACAAGGGTTACTCTGCTATGATCTAGAGGGACAGCGACTGCGGATAGCATATCATGTTATTTTTATGGAGGACTTCATGTACTATTCTTCCAAACAGGAGTCATCTTGGGAAGAATTTGCTCAAAGTCTCTCTTTTCTTGAGACTCTGGTCGTTGCGGATACTATGGGGTCAGAGCGTGGTGGCCAATCACCTGATGGACCTCCAACTTCTGTCTCGCTGCAGGGAGGGGATGATGCCGAGATGAGGTCTTTTGTGGGTAACTCCACCCCAAGTAGCAGTAGCTCCTCCTCACATAATAGATCTTTCTCCTCCTCGCATACTACCTCAACCTCCTCCTTGCATACCTTGTCTTTGTCTCATTCCTCGGATAGTAGCTCTTCCTCGGACAGTGATGGGCATGATGGGAGTGATCAGCAATCATCGCCGCCTCATAGTCCGCCCCCTAGTGGACCTCGTCGGTCAGTTCGGGTGAACAAAGGTCAGCCTCCTCCTCACCATAATGATTATCTCGTCTTTGCTGTTGATCCTGTTTCATTTGTTGTTGAGCAGATTCATGTTCCATCACACTATAGATTTGCATGTGGTATTCCGGTTTGGGATAAAGCAATGACTGAAGAAATTGATGCTCTGGAGGAGAATGAGACATGGGAGGTGATTCCTTGCACTCCAGATATGTCTATTGTAGGCTGTAAGTGGATATTCACAGTGAAACTTAGCCTCGATGGGACATTTTTTCGGTGGCCAGACTAGTTTCTCAGGGCTTTAGCCGAGAGTATGGGATTGACTATGATGAGACTTTTGCTCCTGTAGCAAAAATGCAAACTGTCCCGTCTGTTTTAGCTGCTGCTGCTATGCGGAATCGGCCTCTAGTACAACTAGATGTCAAAAATGCATTCCTTCATGGAGATCTGAAGGAAACTATCTATATGAAATGTCCTGCAGGGTATTCGAATGGTGGTCCTAATATGGTTTATCGATTGAAGAAGTCCTTGTATGGCTTAAAACAAGGTCCACGCACCTGGTTTGAAAAGTTCCACAGTACAGTTCTCCAGGCAGGGTTTGTACAAAGTCAAAATGACTCGTCATTGTTCCTACGACATACAGAGGATGGGATCCCAGTCTTATTATTGTATGTTGATGATATGATCATCTCTGGGGATGATCAAGCCGGTATACAGGAATTAAAGCAGACTTTACATCAGGCCTTTCGCCTAAAGGAGCTTGGAGAGGTTTCATATTTTCTTGGGCTGGAGATTGAACGTACTACTCAGGGTATATTTGTTGGGCAGTGGAAGTAAGTACGAGACTTGTTGGTCGAGTATCAGTTTGATGATTGCAAGCCATGAGCTACTCCGATGGAACAGAACTTAAAACTGAGTAGGTCTAGTGGTAAGATGCTAGATGATCAAACCACTTATCGGACGATAGTAGGGAGTCTTCGGTATCTCAGTTCAACTAGACCTTATATTGCCTATGATGTTCAGGTTGTGAGTCAGTACATGGGTATGGCCAGAACTCTACACCTTGATGCTGTTCATCGGATCTTACGTTATTTGCAGGGGACTCAGGATGTAGGAATCTTCTTTCTGAGTCATGGAGAGCCGACTTTGGAAGCCTTTGTAGATACTGACTTTGCTGGATGTGTTGATACACGATGCTCTACTTCTGGTTGGTGTGATCGACTTGGTTCATCTCTTATTTTTTGGCGTTGTAAGAAGCAAGATCGGATCTCTAAGTCCTCCACGGAGGCTGAATATAGGTCCATGTCTAAAGTCAGCTCTGAATTGGTGTGGTTGCAGCGTTTGCTAGAAGATTTGGGAGTTGTGTGCATGATGCCTATGCGGTTATTTGGAGACAACACCAGTGCGATCAGGATTGCTAACGAGTGTTACATGACAGGACAAAGCACATTGAGACACATGTGCATTATATTCGACAGCTTGTCCAAGAAGGAGTATTTCAGCTTAGCTATTTGTCAACAGAAGATCAGACTGCGGACTTGTTGACAAAGGCAGTCGGAACTAGTCGTCACTGGTTTTTATCACACAAACTGATGGTACGAAAGCATGATCAGTTTGAGGGATCGTGTTAAAGTGACGACTTAGTTTATTTAGGTAGCTTTTAGTAATTTTACATTAGTTACCTAAATAGACTGATAGGGTTTGTTCTACACCCTATTCCGATGTACATATATACGGATGAAGGTTGCACAGAAAACCTAAGCTGAATAAAATTGACACTGGAGAGTTTTAGCTCTCCCGTGGACTAGTCCTGATTATCAGGGATACCACGTAAAATCCTGTGTTCGATTTCTCACTTTCATCTTCTTATCATAAACCGGCTGAGCAATTTCTTGTTGTTTTAAGCCTTTTGGGACCGGATCACTGGCCGGGTATGGGTTTTACAGGTCTGACCAACCGGTCTGGTCCAGTTTTGATAACACTGCTTTAAAGTATAGTAGAAGTGTTCAATTATTGAATTTTTATGTTTCACTCGCCTTGTTTGCCTTTGCTACCGTTTTAATGCCATTTAAGATTTCTTTGTATTTAAGTGGGTTTTTTTTTTGCATTTTCATTTAAACTTTCAGTATTTTCTTTATGACAATTTAACCCAAATCCATGGGGTTCGACCTAATTCGACCAATCAAAGTGAACTGAACCGATGTTCACAAAATTTGGGTTGGTAGCGAGTTTTGCCCACTTCTGTAATTGACAGGTTGAGTGAGGTGTGAATTTTGTTAAAAACTTGGTCCGATTTCCATCCGATCCGCACCTAAAAATAAAACAATCGACCTGGTCAAAACAGTTTGAATTTGGTGTCGATGAGCTTTGATTGTGACCATTAGAATTAGCATAAAATGCACTAGTCATATTCTAATAGATAGGGACACATGACTAGTCCAAGTCAACTTTTCTTTTTTAGTGCGAATGGATCAACTTAAGGCTTCGCAAATTTAACAAATAGTCTTGACCTCATACTCATAACAATGGGAAGAATCTGCTCTGGGATGATGATTTCCACTCCTATGACGATCTCCAAGCTCGATTTGATGAAACCCAGCTCCAAGATGGCTTATAGGATGTGTTCTTTGTACTTTCTCTCTATAGGGCTCTATTTTTGCTCTCAAAAGTCGATCCTCTCACTTGTGGCCCAAAATTGGGTAAAAACTAGAAAATCCCGATCACACGGGCAGGCCACACGGCCGTGTGGCATACCCAGATGCCCGTGTGAGGTCCAAAACGCCGCGTTTCCAATAATTGCACTTCAGGCTACCTACACGGTCAGGGACACATGGCCGTGTAGCTCACCCAGTCTGCCCGTGTGAAGCCTCGCAATATCCCACACGGCCACATTGCTCCTTCACACGGCCGTGTGGGTTTTATTCCTGCCCGTGTGAAGGCTCGCACAATCAATATTCCCTAGTTTGACAATAAAGATAGTGTTATGGAACAATCCAAGTACCACATCGGAAATACAAGGGAAGAAACCCTTATATATTAATGTCCACCAAGCTCATTAGTACGAGGCCTTTTGGGGAGGACACAGGCCTCGTACTAATGAGCTCGGTGGACATTAATATATAAGGGTTTCTTCCCTTGTATTTTCGATGTGGTACTTTGATTGTTCCATAACACTATCTTTATTGTCAAACTAGGGAATATTGATTATCATGGAACTTTGAATATAATCACATTGCAGCATAAACACGAGCTAGCAAACGAGATCTCTAAAGACTGTGGAATGCCGCTGCAAAGCGCGGCACAACACCAATATATATGAAGTTGAGACAAGAATGGCAGCTTATGGAGGTAAGAAGGTAAACAGTAAAGCATGAAATGAAAAACCGAGAAACATTGTTGTCGGCCGTCAGAAGGGCACACATATATCACGTGGTCACTCGAGTCCCTTTACACGATCCAGGTTCGATACTTGAAAGCCCACAAAATAACTCTGCTTTCTTTGTGTTGTATGGCTGTTACCAATATACATCAAGCTGCTTCTTGCAAAGTAGCATCGCATCGTTATATAATAACTTGATTTTATTATTAGACCACGTGTTATAGAAAATTATATGTAACACCGTTTTATAATAGTTATTAAAATACATACATAGGAAAGTTGAGTGGATATTTATTTCTTATGTATCAGTCACACGCACGTACTGATCAAATTTATTATGTAAAGCTTCCGTAATAATTGAGAAACTTTGATCTGACTTTGATCTTTCAATCATGATCCAAACAACAGTCCCCCATTCCGATGGTGATCACACAGCAGCATTGCCAGCACCAGTACTCCACTGCCATGCACACACCATAAGCAAAATCAACGCAATTACTACGTACCAGTCGACCCTTTTCACTCTGAAATCGAGTAAAGATTAAAAACAGATCTATTATATATATGTAGTTAAAACGATCGAGATGGAATTTTGCTAACCAGCCGGGTGAACAAGCAACGGGGAAGAAGTCGTTGCGATCATCGCGGTAGGCATCGGTGAGGGCGTCGGCGTTTCGTTCTCGATCGATGATACGACTCCAGCTGCAGCTCTACCATTTGCTGCAGGAGAGAGCATCAACATTACCACCATCGTCGTCACAAGACCATCAATCAACTTATGACTCATCGTCGGCTTCCTGGTTCCCACATGCACCAAATAGAGAGGTAATTAAGAGGATGCTGTTTTGTAGGGAGAAAAGAGGAAAGAAGCCCAAGTGGTACGTTAGCGAGCTTGCCGCGGCGGCTAATTGAGGAATCTCTAGCTCTGTGATATGTTTTGTTCTTTTGTATTAGGGTTTTGTTATTTTATGGTGGTGGTGGAGGAATCTCAGACTCTGCTCTTTTGACCGACTTGAACACCCCCATTTACCTATGTAATGTAATCTTTAGATGAGTCATGTGGCCGGCCGGCGCACATTCGCATAGAAACCGCCGCGTTTCGTTTTCGGATTTCGACATGATCGATCAGTGTCCTTTGTGCGAGGAAGGAACGCATGGGACTTGGCTGTTAGAAATAGATAGTTTAGGGTGTATTTGAAATTTTTATTTTATTCCAGTATTGATTAAGAACTTTAGTATATCTACACATCTACAAAAAATTATAAGCCAATGTCAAAAAGCAGCATTTGCCACGTCAGCCTCTCCTGAAATGGCCGCACAATTCGGAGGGGCTTTTGTGGAAATTCCTAACCTATCTCTTCAATTTGTTTCAGTCTTCCAATCTTTTACCAGGAAGCGATCATCTTCCACGCCACCGCCGCCGCTCACTGCCGAGGATCTCCCTTGCCTTCCACAGCTCTTCTCTTCTCTCTTTTTGTGTTCCAGCCGAACATATCACCGCTAATCTTGCAATTCTTCTCCCCCAATTAGTTGCCCTTGAAAGTCCCGTTTCAAATCTCGACGTCGAGCAAGCAAACCATTGTGCTCGCTCATACCTCATCTCACTCTTCGATCGATTGTCTCCCGTACTCCTGGAAAGCTCACGGCAGCCCTTGCCACCGCAGGTACCGCTATCCTCGCCTGACCCTCAACACCGCTCCCAAAGTAATTAAATCTCACTCCCTTTCTAATCCGATTCGCAGATTTCTATGTTCGTTTCAAAGGGAATAGCAACCATCAAGAAACTGCGGGTCGGGGTTTGATGGGGAAGAAGAAGCGGGTTCCCTAATCATCCAGGTATTGCATCCCGAATCCTTTTCTGAACTTGGTTGTGTTTGGTGGTTGAAAGCGACGCAAAATCTGTCGCATTCTTCCCAACCAAATCTTTCTGACCGTCTTTCTTTGGTGCCAATTTCCAAATTGGAAATTATTCCGGCCCTTGGTCTGCGCATCTCTTCAAGCTACAGGTCGGGGAACATATCTTCAAGTCGCACTCAACATACCGCTTTGATTTCTCCGAGCTGTCCTATGTTTGGTGTTTGGTGCTCTGACTTGCAAGTGGGCTGGGTATTGTTGTTGACTGTTTGGTGTATTTGAGGCTAGGACTCCCGTCTCCATTGCTTCCTGCTCTCCGTGGTTGTCTGTCGGTGCATTTTGCTCTCACCAGCAAGCTTTATTTGGGTATGCGTTGAAACTGATAACCAATTAGTTGGAATCAGCTTCTACCTTTTGTTGGAGTATCCATTTTGCATCAAATCATAGTGATCCTGTATTAGAGGATTAAAGTCCAATTTTAGTAAGGTCAAACTCATCTCCAAAAGTTAGTTAACATAGCAGAATTGGAAGAAGAGTAATGCAGCCTTTTGTTTTCCTTTCCATCCTTTTATCTTTGCATCATTGTCATTAGCTTACTTATCTGGCTATTGGTTTTCGTTTGGCTATGCAGCAATGAGGCCTAAGCGTCAGCGTGAGGAACCTTCTTTTGCCTCAAATCAGCCTCCATTGAAGTCTAAACCTGGTCTTATTCGATGTAATTTACTCTTGACGTACTTTGTTAGGGTTTTTTTAGATTCAAAGTAATGTAGATTCTGCGTTGAAGCGTACTTTGAACCATATATTTCATTGTGTGTTTGTTAGGGAAAGGAAGAGCTATTTGTATCTCTCCTGAAAGTCCGACACTTGCTGAAGTTGACGCAGAGAGGCTGCGAATTGAGGGTGGTAAGTGAATTTGATCTCAAATTCTTAGGACTGTGAACATATTCATTTTCTTCTCCATGCGTATTATATACTGCTGATCTGATTGCACAGCAAAGGAAATTCTTTCTCGGTATACAGTGACTTGATTTGTAGATGTTCTTCCCTGTTTACCTTCTTGATAATAGTTATATTAAAGTTGAAATATCGACTCGGTCGTGTTGATCGCCATATTGCAACTTTAGCTAGGAGGAGAAGGAAGTTTATTTTGGGAGTACGACGGTTGCATGGAGTGCGTGTTGTTTCAGTCCCAAGTATGTTGTTCTTTTCTTCTCTATTATCTATGTGCTGCTTTTGGGTGGTGGTAGGGAATTGCAGCAGTTGTGGTGACCGTTTATGATATTGGTGCTATTAATGTTCAGTAGTTGGGATGGATCAAGGAGTTTGGATTGAATATTTGATCCATTGAGTTTTTACATCTCGCATACAGCTAGCTGGAATTGTGAAACCTTTGTGTCTCTACATTAGTTGTTGTGGGTTAGGGTGATTTCTGTTTTCTAAAGTAAAATGCATATCCATACTCAAGCACCTACAAACCTTTAACGTTTGAACTGAGAGTACCATCACTAAATCTGTACATGCAGAACAGGCAAGAAGGTAATGCTTACTTGCGGGTTCCTATGCTATCACTGTATTTTGCTTGGGCTTGGTGTGATTATGAAACTTATTTTGAGGTTAAGAACTTTGTTTTGTACCCCTTTGGCTCTTCTTCTTTGTATGCTGTGTTATGATTTATTTATTCTTGGAGTTGATAGTTTGCGTTCAACTATGTAGTTCAATGAATGTTGTGTTTCAGTATCCGGATGCATAAATAAAACTTTTGCCACCACTAAGCTAATCACGGTCTTGAAGTTCGGTGATTCGATTGGCAAAATAACTATGTATCCTAGCATGCGTACCAAAATTGATGCTTTTATTTGTGATCTTTGTTCATTATTTACTTAGTTTCATTTCCTTTCTATATTACTTACTGCTGTACATTTACTATGCATCTTATATTCTTCAGTGTATGATGTTTCTATGAAGACCTTCCAAGCTAAGCATAACCGCGCTAGGAGAGTGATCCATATGTGTGAAAAACGGAAGAAATTTGGAGTACCTAGAGCATTTTATAGGCGTGGTAAGTCCAAATGATGTTTAGAACCCATCTTTGGTTCTTTGCTATTGTAGAATGCTTTTAATATATTTTTATTTCTCAGGTTATCCGGTAATTTCGGAATTCTCAATTGGCGAGCCTGAATGTGTTTGCCAATATTGTGGTGCTGTTTTTTGGAGATGTGAAAGTACAAGGGAAACTAAAGGAAATGTTCATCCGCAATTCACATTATGTTGCAAGGGAGGGAAAGTCAAACTTCCTGAACGCCGTGACCCGCCTGAGGTTTTGAAGATGTTGTTGGAGTCTGATACTGCTATTGCTCGCCACTTTAGAAAATATATTCGGCAGTATAATAATTTGTTCTGCTTTATTTCGCTTGGTGGGAAGGTGGATCACGCTATAAATAATGGTCAGGGTGTGTATGTTTACTCAATTGGCGGCCAAATCTATATCGAATAGGAAGCTTAGTTCCTGTTGACGGAGAAACACCCAAATTTGCACAGTTATACATTCATGAAACTAATAATGAAGTGCGGAATCGGCTTGATTTCGTTTCTATGAGCTCTTCTTCCAGTTCATTATTGCATGACGTTGTTGCAAGCCTGCAGGGGATGCTTGATGCGAATAATGTTTTAGTTCAAACATTTCGCTATGCTCGAGATAGAATTGTGCATGATGGTGTTCAGCCTCTTAAAATCAAGCTTCTGGGTAGAAGAACGGTAGATGGCAGAGAATATGATGTACCTACTGCTAATGATGTTGCTGCATTGATTGTTGATGACACAGGTGAAGATTGCTTCCTACCTGATGTTGTTGTGCAGTATCAAACTATGCAGCTAGAGAGAATTAGTTTTTATCATCCCAGCTTAATGGCATTACAGTACCCTCTTCTATTTCCTTATGGTGAAGATGGCTGGCATGGTAACATTAGCTACTGCACGGGCTCGGTTAATGATTTGGGTAACAATGCATTATCTCAGTGTGATTTCTACAGTTATCGTCTACAGACAAGATTTGATCAATCTAGCTCATTACTGCTTTCTGGGAAATTGTTTCAGCAATATGTTGTTAATTCATATGCTTTGGTAGAAGCAGAAAGACTAGAGTGGATCAGAAACAATCAATCAAAGTTGCGCATGCACTATTTATCTGGTCTTATAGATTCATTCTTGCGTGGTGATACTGATCTTAAGTCTACTGGGAAGCGGGTTATATTATCTTCAAGCCATACTGGTGGCCCTCGATACAAATATAAAAATTTCCAAGATGCGATGGCTATATGCAGGTGGATCGGTTACCCTGATTTATTTATCACATTTACCTGTAATGCTAATTGGCTTGAGATTCAATTCATGACCGATATGATCAAAAGTGATGGGAGAAAAGATCCAGATAGAGCTGATGTTATTGCTCGAGTTTTCAAGGCAAAACTTAATCAACTCATGTGGGAGATAACAAAGAAGAAGATATTTGGCACAGTCCTGGCCTGTAAGTTTATATATCTACATTTGAACAATTTTTGTTTGCAAATGTTTTGTATTTATTTTGAAAGATATTACCATATTTGCAGATGTGGAAGCTATTGAATTTCAGAAGCGTGGTTTGCCACATGCTCACATTTTACTATTTCTAGCTCCGGAAGATAAGTTTGTAACTCCAAGTGATATTGATTCTGTCATATCAGCTGAACTTCCAAATCCCGCTTTAGATCCCGAAGGATATGAAGCTGTAACATCATTTATGATGCATGGACCATGTGGAGTGGCAAATAGAAATTCCCCATGTATGGTGGATGGTTTGTGTACGAAGCATTTTCCAAAGAAATATTGCAGTCAAACAGTTATCGATGAGCATGGATTTGCTAAATACCGACGTCGTGATACAGGTGACTTTTGAGGTTAATGGCACCCCCTTAGACAACCGGAATGTCGTGCCATATAATCGATATTTGCTATTGCGGTTTCAATGTCATATTAATGTGGAGTTCTGCAACAAATCAAGGTATGTATTCTTCTCGATGTCGTGATAGTTGACTTTAAGGTTTAGTTCTATAAATGACAATAACATACAATAATTGGCATGTGTCAATCTCCCAATAAATTAAAAAAAAACCCTAAATTTTTTTGTTCGACTTTATTAAACTTGGAACATAGAGGTGTGCTATTTATATTCTACTTTTAAATTTGCTATCTTTATTACATTTGGAACATAGAGTAGTGCTATTTATATTCTACTATTTATAGAGTAGTAATATATGATTATAGTGCTTCTATGGACCTAGATGCCAAAATATATTAGAAGGGTACTTGGTATTCAATTTAAAGTTTGTGAGAATTGATACATTCTTTATTGCCTTTGTATTCTACTTTTACGGCAAAGAAATATGAGATATTCCTTTAGATCCTTTTGAATATTACCGTGTATGTTTTTTTGAATATTCTTTTAATGTGTACCTACGAATCGAAAGTGAAATCTTATGCATTTGCCGTTGACAGGGCTATCAAATATTTGTTCAAATATATTAATAAACCTGCTGATCGTGCTGCTGCGACTTTGGTTGATAGTGACCTGCCCAGCACTACCCATGATGTTTCTGGAAGTTCATCTAATTCAGTTTGTGTTGATGAGATTAAAGCTTTTATGGATTGTCGGTATATTACATATGGAGAGGCATGTTGGAGGATTTTCAAATTTGATGTTTATAATCACTATCCTTCAGTTGTCCGAATGCCATTTCATCTTCCCGGTGAGAATGTTGTTGTCTCTAAGGATAATTCGTCTATGGAAGATGTCATCTAAAATGAGGGTTCTTCTCTATCAATGTTGTTGGCATGGATGGAAATCAATAAGCTCTCTGAAGAGGCAGGCAATTACACATATGCTGAATTTCCTCAACACTTTGTTTGGAATAAACAAGGCAAAATATGGCAGCGCCGGAAATCTAGGATGTGCATTGGGAGATTGTACTATTGCCATACATCAAAAAAGGAAAGATTCTACTTGCGTATGCTGCTTCATGTTGTTAAGGGTTGTATTTCTTTTGAGGACATTAGAACTGTTAATGGTGTTCTTCTCAAATCTTTTCAAGAAGCATGTTATGCCCGTGGATTACTGGCAGAAGACAATGAGTGGAATGATTGTATTAATGAGGTATCGACTTGGGCATCTGGACATAAGCTTCGAGAGCTTTTTGTGACTATTCTTATTAATTGTCCAGTATCAGATTGCAAAGCTTTTTGGGATAAAAATTGGACGTTGCTAAGTGATGATATACTTTATCATCGTCGAAAAGAATTGAAGATGCCTAATCTGCAGCTTACTGATGATGAACTACAGGATTTATGCTTAATGAAGATTGAGAAGTTGTTGCAAAGTCATTGGAAGTCCATTGCTGACTTTCCTGGATTGCCAACCCCTTCAATTGGATCTATGGCTAATACTTCAAATCGATTGCTTGCAGAGGAGCTGAATTACAATTGTGCTGAGCTGCAGTCTCAATTTGGTGTCATGTGTTCTCAACTCAATATTGAACAAAAGGCAGCCTATGATGAGATTTTGGATTCAGTATATGGTGATAAGGGACGTTGTTTCTTTGTTGATGGGTTTGGTGGCACTGGCAAAACATTTTTATGGAAAGTAATTTGTTTGAAGTTACGATCAGAGGGTAAGATTGTGCTATGTGTTGCCTCATCAGGTATTGCTGCATTGTTAATGTCAGGTGGAAGAACAACTCATTCAAGATTCAACATTCCAGTGGATATTCACTCTAAGTCAACATGTCATATTCAACAAGGTAGTGATCTGGCTGAATTACTTCAGAGGTGTTCTTTGATTATTTGGGATGAAGCTCCCATGTCCCATAAACACTGCGTTGAGGCTGTGGACAGAACTCTAAGGGATATTTTACGTGTAAAATATCCTAATTCTAAAAACTTGCCTTTTGGTGGAATGACTGTTGTTCTTGGAGGAGATTTTCGTCAAACATTGCCGGTAATAGTCAAAGGTACACGCTCTGATGTTGTTAATTCTTCTATCAAGAAATCAAAACTGTGGCATTATTTCAGAGTGTTGAGGTTAAATAAGAATATGCGTTTGGTGAGAGATGGTTGCTCAGCTGATGAGGGTCGGGAGATTGCAGAGTTTAGCAAATGGATCCTTGCTATAGGTGATGGCGAAGGGTCAAATGTTTTTGGTGAGTCCATCATTTCTATTCCTAAGGAACTATCTGTTGAACGCAAGGTTGATCACATTTCAGACATTGTTGCTGAGGTCTATGGAGGGTTATCAACGCATTATTGTGAGTCAAGCTACTTTGATGGTCGTGCTATCTTAGCCCCTCATCATGACATGGTTTCTGCGTTAAACCATTATGTCCTTGAGCAATATCCTGGTGAAGTCATGACATACTTTAGTTCTGATTCTATTGATATGGATCCTGGGAACCAAAATGTCATTGATTCTGATTACTCGACTGAATTTTTAAACTCATTGAAGATTGGGAATTTTCCTGAACATGAGTTGAAGCTTAAGTTGGGATGTCCAGTTATTCTATTAAGGAACATTGACCAAAGTCGTGGATTATGTAATGGGACTAGACTGATTGTGAAGACATTGGGGACATGGTTCATCGAACTAGAGATTATTTCGGGGTCTCAGGCTGGTGACAGGGTTTTTTTGCCAAGAATGACTTTAACCCACCCATATAAAAGTTTGAATTTCACGTTGGTCCGCAGACAATACCCCATTGCTTTGTGCTTTGCAATGACGATAAATAAGAGTCAGGGTCAAACATTACAGAATGTGGGTTTATGTCTTCAAAAGCAAGTCTTCTCTCATGGTCAATTATATGTTGCATTGTCCCGTGTTACAACAAAACGCGGAATCAAGATTTTGAGCTGCGATGCTGATGGAGCTGAAGTGAAGAGTATGCAGAACATTGTTTATAGAGAGATTTTTTATTGAGTTTTGAACTATTATTAGTTTGTATTTTTACTGGATTATTTTGTTGAGATGTCACACTTTTGCTTTGTTATTATCTGGATGTTGGTAAAAGACTCGAAAGAAAACAAAAAAACTATGTTTTGTAGTCTCTTCCTCCCCATATAGACAGGAAGCTACTGATGGTAGCCAATAGTGGGAATAGAAGGCCATCTGTAGGATTAAATTAGTACCCATTTCTTTCTGTGTGCCAGTAGGTTATCTACAATTCTTATTTTTTTTCGGATAGTTGTTTTGTTCCAGCTTGATTATTAGTTGATTTTTCCTAACCAAGTTTCTCAAACCGGTTTATGTCAGTGTGCCGGTTTGGCAAGTGAAATGGGTCGTCCGGTGGCACATATTCGTTTGTGCTGGATCTTGCCGGTCAATAATACAAATAAGATTATAAATTATTATATTTAGATAACACATTTAACGTCAATACGTAGACATTTATAATTCAATCCAACAAATAATATCAATATTTAACTTTTATACTCATAAAATAAATAATAAAATAATATCTAAAAATTAAAATCACTAAAATAAGATAATTTTACTTAGAGATTCGTATATCGATCATATCGGTCATACCGATAGTGCAACGCCGATTTTATGACCGGTACCGGTTGAACCAAGTACAACCGGTGGCACGCCGGCCGGTGAGTCAACCATAATCCTAACCTTTATCTTTGAAAAACTGATGTAAGATTAAAAAGTGTAAGTAATTATTTAAGTTAACAAAAAAATTAGTTTATGATATTTTATAATAATTATTAATTTAATATATTTAAAAAATGGACTTGGTCCAAAGTTATCCTAGCCGCTTCTGTTCTCCAATTCTAATTGTGAGGGAGTTGATTTTTTTTTTAAATCTATCCACGTCACATTTCATGGCTGGGCATGTGTCAAGATTAGAAAGCCAAAAGGCCATTTTCAAGGAGAAATGGAGGTGTGGTTGGCAGTTAATCCCCACTAACACCTACTTTTAAGCTTCACTCTTTGTCATTTTCTTTTATGTATAAAAGGAACTATCTGCCACATTTATTTGCTCCTTGGCAACCTTCCTCGCGTGTTCTAATCAATCAAAAAACCTTGCCATTACTTCTACAATTTTCCCTTCCCAAAGTCATGGCTCTTCGTCCATTAGTTGACTTGGGTATTGAAGATGTCGACTGTGGAGTCCATGTTAGAGTTCTGCGCAAATGGGCTGTCAAGAAAAGAGGGACCAAAGAAGCTGTTTTTGTTAACATGATCATTGTTGATGCTTATGTACGTGTTGCTCTTCCTACTTTATTTGTCCTTCTTCCTCTAATGATGTTTGCACTGAATGCACATTTGGTTTTAATTTATGCAGGGATATCAAATGGAAATTGTTATTCATAAGATCTTGATCCCAAGGTTTGATCGACTCATTAAGGAAGGCAGCGTGTACTATTTCGGTCAGTTCTTGGTTCAGAGGAACACTACCAGCTTGACAATTTCCTTTCCACTGAATCTGAAGTTGGGACAGTGCTCACAATCACTTCTGTTTATGTGCATAAGTACCATGGTTAGTTGTCTTTCTGATTAATAATCAATGGCAAAATGGCCTCTACACTTTTATTAAAATTCTATTGTTGTTTATTTGCAGGAGAGTTCTTTTTTTCTTCCTCATGTGCCTCTAAGATGCACTGCAATCTGCACTATCCTCCTGGCCATGCTTTGCTCGATTTGTATGACACACCTCTTTATGCGTTCTTTTGTTTGTTTTCCTTAACAAGTTGATTGAAATTCATTTATTTTCATATTGTACTGAATTTGCAGCAGTAGCGGTAGTGGTGTTCCTCGCAGTGATGGGGAAATCTGCCAGAGTCTCATTGTACCAAGTTCTATCAAATCGATGGAAGCTTTGAATGCTGCTGGTCCATTTAAGGTATAGACAAAACATTTTTTCTCCTTATTTCCTTAAGACCATTTCAGATTCTGTCAAGAGATTTGGTTATCTTTCTGCGCTGACTCCATTTTTCAATCATTTTCAGGGTCTGACTTTCAAAATAGAAGCAGAGGTCACTCAAGTGGATGCTTATTGGTCTGATCGACAAGATTCTTTTATAGTTCAGCTCCTGGTGAAAGATGGCAAAGATGGTTGTGCTTTAATCTTCAAAAGTAATGTCTTTTGGTCAATCACAGACTCAATTTTTGAGAGTGCAGCTCAGTTTCAGAGGTCAGGTTTCGAGGTCAACCTGAAGTCCTTGAGGGGCAAGATGTTTCAGTTCCTGGTGAAAGTTGTGCCTCATTTTTATAAACCTGGAGGAGTCCACTTTGAGGTTGTGAAAATCTTCCGTGGCTGAAAGATGAACAACAAATTAGTTCCAGTCCTATTGTAAATAATCATCTTTTCTGTCTTTTGTTGGAATTGTCATGCCTTATGTTTAAAAACAGTAGTTTGAGATGGTATTTATTGTTCATTTCAGTAATTTGGCGAGTAGTTGTTGCCTTTCTCTTGGACATAATATCAGTTGCATTTTGAATTGGATTTGGTTTGGACAGTGAACCTCTGATGGGCATCATCTTATACCTCTGCTCAAGTCGATACCTGGTGTTTTACATTTCTCTGCTTGCATTTATATGCTGCAAATATTTGTTGTCCTTTGTTTGGACTCAGACGTTAATTTTCAAAACCCAATCATTTGGGAAAATTGAGCTGGCCCTCTTAGTTGTGGATGCCAATATCATGGCTTTCTTAACCGTTAGCCCAATTAAAATAAGGCCCACTGTGTAGAGCTGTACATGCATACCACCTAAGTGGAATGAAATGTCAAAAGCTTTGAGGAAGCTTGGAACAGTTTGATGTTGAGACTAAAATTGGCCGTACTTATAATCTTTAATGGATCAAAACTTTGCTGGAATGAATAGATCCACGAGAACTGAATGCCAAAATTTTAATTCCAGATGAACTGATTCTGATTTCCAGCCCATACGTTAGAAATTTGTTCACTCTTTCATTACAAAATAGCTTCAGTTTGGGCCTGATTGAGCCCGTTACATTTTTGTCCCCATCTGCCTTTTCTTATCCTTTAGCAATCGGTGGTAGGGTTTTCACCGTCTCCATCTCCACGCCTCAACCTGATTTTTCTGTCGGCACCCTTTTTTTTTTTTTTTTAATCTCTCAATTCCAATTTCACCAAACTATGGCGGCGACTATCTCAATTCCAATCTCTCAAGGGGTCCTTATCCATTGCTCCAATGATCTTGAGTCTCTATTTCCGCTAAATGTCAGACTGTTGGGTTCAAATGGCGCGTGGAATGTCAGACTGTCTCGGCGCTGATCTGCTTACCAGAAAGCCATTTTGGTCGGCCGTTGTGATGGGCTTTTTCAAGCTATGGGTTTCCTTTAATCGCCTGATCGTAAGAAGCAAGAGCCGCTTCAGGTGGTGCAGCTTCTGATCTGTTTGTGCCGGGAACGTCGGTGGTGCGCTGCGGTTATCGGTGTTTAGCCTGCAGATGCAAAGTTTTCGGTCTACAGAAACGTGGGTAAGCAGTTAGTATTCATCAAAAAACTGTCTCTGGTGGCGGCCGGTTATTACCTTATTCCATATTAACATGATCTTCTTAACTGCCACCAGTTCAACCTTGATGTGCCGACTAACATGGGACTTGCGGTTACTTTGCTGGGAGCCTATAAATTTTGCCGACGAGAAATTGCTTTCAGACTTACGCCCTTATCAGTTAACAAAGCAGGATGGCGCCTCAACTGTTGAAAGATTTAGCAACTCATTCTCGAAAATGGATCATTCAATGTCGTGTCTCTCGGAAGTGGATCGCAACTAACTGCAACTCAGGAAAAGTTCTGCATTTGGACATGGTGCTCATCGATTCCGAGGTAATCTTCGAACTTTGTTTAGAAAGAGTAGCTACAATGATATTACGGCTGGAACTTATGTTTATTTGTTTACAAATTAGGGATCAGATATTTGGGCAATGGTTCCTCCACTGTTGATTCCGAAATTTCAATCCAGTCTAATAGAACAAGAAGTGTATGAGATTAGGCATTTTAAGGTTGCAATGACGAAAAACACATTTAGGCCTGTTCCTAATCGTCTGATGATTGAGTTTGATGCTGCCACTTTAGTTCAACATATCAAAACAGTGTCGCCAATACTTTCTTATAAGTTCTACTTTCTCAATCATGATGCTATGATGGAAAGGCTGTACGATAAGAAGAACCTTTCAGGTAGAGTGTTCTTTCTTTTGTTCTTCATTGCCAATCCGTCTGCAGTTTGATAGTAACAGCAACATTTTGCTGCAGATGTAATTGGACAATTGATTGACCATGCCAGCCTAACCTAGCGAACCTCAGCTTCAAAATGCTGGAAGGAGATCACAATAAAACTCATTGGGTCAGATCTAAACGCCTCAATTTGCAATTTCAATTTGTTTTTGATTGATAATTTGAACCTTAACTTTTTTTCTTTGCTTTGATTCTTGGTATTATTAATGTTAGAGGGGAGATGGTGAAAGTCACTTTGTGGGGAAGTATTGGGAAGCAATTAGAAGACATCATCACTCGCAATGAACGGACAGCTGTCATTCTGACCATTACCTCTGTGTTTGTTGATGAATTTAAAGGTTCGGCACATAGAAGCTTATTTAGTTCCTTTTGGTTTGCAAGTCTGAAAATTATTCTAACTTTCTTATTTGTTTTGTATTTTACAAGGGGAAATCTGTTTGTCATCAACCGGAGCAACTCAGTTGAAGGCCAACTTGGATATTCCAGAGGTGCTTGAGTTTAAGGCAAGGTATGAGTGGGATTATGTACTTAAGTGCTTTTAACTGCAGTTTACTTCGGCTGCCTATCAAGTCCAGGCATTATGAAAATGCAAGAATGAACTTAGTGTAGTTTTTACTCCTGTTTCCTTGCATTCCATCTATTTGGAGTTGTTTCATTGCATGAATTTAGGGTCTTCACAATTGCTACCTAAAATAAATTGTGGATTTGCTTTTTCATTTGTTTCTAGGGACTCAAATCTGCCTGCACCTGTGCTGCTTCCTGAAGTACCCGCTGCCGAGATTCCTAAAATTTCACTAGCTCAATTAAATGATTTCAAAAGCGATGAAGCACAGAATGTATGCTTTTTTTCTATAGAAATGTTTTCATTTCAGCACCTTCTTTTTTACATGAAACCAAGTTTTTTTGTTTCTGTTTTGAATGAACTTCAGGACAAACTATTTTCGGTTGAAGGAATGGTGACTCAAGTGCGTCCTAATTGGTGTTACATGGGTTGTGTTGCATGCCCGCGGAAGGTGGAGGAGGATCTGGAGGAGTATTTTTGTGGCCACTGTAAGACAACATCTCGCATTGCTAAAGCAAAGTAAGCTGGTCATCTATTTTTTGCTTTGTACATTATCCATGCTATAGGTTTTGTTGTCTGAGTTTGATATCAAACTAATATGTTACACCAAAATTATTGTGAGATATGGAGTTGTACGATTTTGCTTATCTTTTTTGCATGATTACTGTAGGTATAGAGTTAAATTCCAGCTGAAAGATGGTACCGGAGAGGCTGATTTTGCCATATTGGAGCATGAAGGGCTGCGCTTTTTTGGAGTAATGGCTGATGAGTTATTCCAATCAAACCAGAGGAACAAAGAATCTCTTCCGCCCCAGATTCATCAGATTGTAAACATGACATTGAAGCTAACTGTTAAATTAACTGAATTTAACATCATGAACCCGCAAACTGAGATCTCTGTGGTCAGCATTGATCATGATCCTCTTCAGGTAAATGAACTTCCATCTCCATATCAGTTTGCTTTAGTTACAGCCTACCAAATTAACTTTATAGTTCTAACCTACCTTATTATATCTTCCACGTAATTTGCAGCAACTCAATAAGGATCTGTGTTCAAAGGACCTTGGAGGAGCAACCTCAGTTGAACAGAAAATGGAAGCTGCATTTGATTGTGAGGCTGACGATCAGAAGTAGTATTGTTGCAACCTTGCTCCACCTAATCACCTATATATCAAACATTCTGTTTAGTATTATTGTTTCGTCTATGGGATGTTCCGTTTTATCTTTTTATTCAGATCCGTATTGAAACTCAGGTTTTAGGTTATTCCTCTTATGTTTAGTATGAATTGTGAATGATATTATGGTTGTTTGCCTTCTATGTTTCTCTATCTGTTGGACAGTTTTATTTTTGCTGTCATTTCTTTGTTTTGAATAAATTGTGCATCATAACTGTCAAAGCCATCAAAGCCATCATTCAGTTTTAGCTTTTGTCAGGGATTACTGATTTTGTAATATAAACAGGTTGTTTGTGTAATTTGTCAGTTCTTGCTGACAAATTTTGATGCATGTTAGCATTTCTGATTCCTTCTCCTTGCTGTCATTTCTTTATATGGATTCTGCTTGCTTCATTTTTCTGAATTCCAGATTCTGTTTGCTGTACATTTTGTCATTTATTCTGATTGCTGCATTCTTTGATTTCTGATTCTGTTTGCTGCATTTTTTGGATAATCTTATTGTGTTTGTTGTCCATTCTGAGATTGATTATGTTTGCTTTATTATTCTGCTTTTTTGCATTTTGTGTGCTGCATTTTTAGATTTCAGATGGTGTTTGCTGTCCATTTTGTTATTGAGTTACTTTGCTGCAATATTATGCTTTTTTATTGAAAAGACTTTGCTTCTCCTTGCTAGCAGTATGTAGAGTTCAATTGTTACTCTAATTGTAGGTTAACCATTATCAAGCATAGTCTTTAACATATAATTTGCAGTAATGTTGACTCTTTAGATGGATTAGCTTCCTCGGGTTCTTAAGAAATTCACTGTCCTATTGCCTTTGTTTTTTTTTTTAATTTCAAAACAAACCTTACAGACTCATATTCCATCAATAGTTATTATTAAATTGTACATAGCTATGTATCTGTTTGTCTTTTGCATATTGACATTGAATCTTATTCATCTAGATTTTGAATCAAATGAATCTTAGTGGTAGATTATACTTTTCAGTCCTCATTGTGTTCCTCAATTTTGAAAAACAAACCCGGCCAACGGGCCGGGCCCAATGCTAGTAATATAATACGCCGAAGGGAAAAACGGGAGCTCCATTTCAAATTTCCTGCAACGAGAGTGAAAGTAGGAAGGACATTTTGGTCTTCACAATTACTTTTTTTTATTCATTAAAAAGACACTTACTGGGATTCGAACTATGACCATTTTAAAGAAAAACAAAGATAATAACCAATCACACTAAACACATTTGTTGTATCTTTTTAAATTAAAAACATATAATAGCAGGGAGGAAAAAACCCTTCTCCCATTTCAAATTCCCTGCTCCATGAGTGTTTGTAGGAAAGGTAGAATAGGAAGTGTCAATTTTTTTCTCTTTCCTCTGTGGAACGGGCCAACTTACCGTACACATGCGAATTTAAACGGGTCCAGGAGTGTCAATTTTTTTTCTTTAAACCCTTTTATTTCTCCGTGGTGATAAAATATATATGAAAAGGAAAAACTAATACTCCTTTTTATTGTTAAAAATAAAAAATTTAACAATAAACTAATGCATGGTATCTAATGGGCTAACCGCTAACCATAAAATAAAAGAGTTGAATGGGCCTGACCTACATGGGATTTGGCCATCAAGTAAAACAAATGAACATCATTGGTTTGTCATTCTAAAACAAGCTATTTTCTATTATGCTATTATTTTATATCTTAGTGGCTAAAATATAATGTATTTTAAAGTTATTCAATGGTTCAACCTCGACCAACACAATTAGTCCAATTTTTATCATTTCAAATATATATTTTATAATTATTTGATATCACAATGATCAAATTATAGTGTATTTTATAGGGAATCGTTTGGTATTTGTTAGTAAAAAACTAAACATAACGATCTATTTGGTTATTTTAAACATTATAACGATCCTGAACATTTTCAGTTCCTTTTGAATTTCCATGGTTTTAATCTCGATTAAGTGATGTGCAAATGGCGAATTGTAGTCGTCTCTTTTCTTTCACTATTTTTTTTATTTTCAAATAGAAAGTTTAAAAGTAAAGAATAATTAGAATTTGGCATGGGTCGATCGAACAAGCTGAATTTCAAGTTTTGGCCCGTTTGTTTTATGCATTGCAAATTTATTAGCATGTTGATGGAAATGGCTTGGAAAAAAGACATATAAGTTGTACCTTTGCAGAAATGTCCTCAAATGTTTGAATGCTTTGTCAATCAGGTTCCGTGACTTTTGTGATGGTGTATGTGCTTGACGATTGCTCTTTTGATTTTCCCTATGAGTTGTGATACCAGTTCTGGTGGTTGCAGCATGTTGTCGTTGTTGGCCTGTAAAAGTTGTTCCACCGTGGTGCTAAATACCTTTCTTTCTTTTTTAACAAATTGTGTGGTAGTGCTATGAAACAGACCACCCATGAATGTTACGCTTATTATGGTATGTTCTTACTTCCGGTGGTGAGAAATTGTGAATTGAGAATCATATTCGCCTACCGCACTGTGTCTGGCTGGTGGCTGCTTACTGTGCTCTCTAGAGTTATGAAACAGACTACCCATGAACGTTACCCTTAAGAGTCCATAACTTTGAGAAAAACCAAATTTAGGCAATCAAAGGTGGTGGATGTATGATATTTTTTATGGCTTAATTGTTTGTGAATTGGATATATGATCTTTGTATGATTAGAGGGGATGTTTGCTTAATAGAATAATTCATTTTAATTCATGTTTATTTTTAACATGAACTTTAGTAACTCAAAACCTTCGAGACACATATCACCTACTGCATTGTATCATTTTGCCTGGGTGCTTGCTGTGTTGTCAAACTTCTTTGCCGCTGCTGCTGCTTTTACACTAACAGGGGAGTTAAGAACCCATGAATGTTTTCGTTTGACACAAACAGGAGGACTTGCTTCTAAATCGTGTAGTTGATATACTGGAGACCAGAACAAAAGCAATGTATAACATCAAAACCAACCATCTGAACTATTAGCATTGTTGCTTTTCTCTTTTTTCGTGGTTAGGTCGCCTTCAAAAAATTTAGTTTGATTTTAGAAAATTTTGCTTTTGCAGTCCTGTCTTGCCACCAACGCGTTCAGTAGATGGAGATGGCAGAGGCGAAGGCTATTTTTGTGTTGTTGTTGCTGGTTTAGGGATCGGTTTGTGAAGAAGAGGGAGAAGAGAGGGGGAAAGGGAAATGCAGGAGAGGGGGTTAACTCTTTTCTCTGACAAAAATGGAGTGAAGAAAGGAATTATGATCAGTAAGGATATGGTTATCTTACATAACTGTCTCTATTCTATTGGAATTGAGCTTGGGAGGCAGTGATAAGGACGAGCTGCAACCAATTCATAGTGAGAAGAGAGCTATGAACTGTGATCATGTCCTATTTCAAATTAGAAGGTAGTTTTGAGTATAAGGATTATTTAATTTGACAAGTTGTTTCGTCCATGATTCTTGGTAGTTTCAGTGCCATTCTAGCCATTGTTTAGTCTGTAATTTTTGAGAATTGATTTGCGAGTAATGACTTTCACTTAGCTTCACTATTATGCGTGTATTTATTGTCATGTGATAGAATTCTCTTTTCCTTTCTTTGAATTCAGTTTCATACTCTAATTGTATCATTTGTACATAGGCAAATCAATCTTGAGATGACAACTCGCCGATATGGCTGGTGCAAGGAACGAAGCCATCATTAGAATTCAGACCGACAACGGGGAGGGATGCCCAGGACTAATTCAATGATGATTGATGATGGTATAATAAAAACTGCAGTCTGCATCAGCACCAATTTCTAGGCCTAAGTAAAGTTGTTCAACCAGAACTCTGCTTAGCGCTAAAAATTCCCCTCACCCAACCTTGATCCTGTTTGACCCACTTATGAAGATTCAAGATATATGACTAATCCTCTCCGTTCGTATTTTCTTATTGACTCTTTCTGACCCTTTAGGTTGGGGCGGGTCGGGAAGAATCGGATTAGTGGGTCGGTCCTAAGCAAGTGGAATCCCAATTCCTTCTACTCTCACTTGCTTTTTCTCCTATTCCACAAGTGGGTAACATACACTAATCCGGCCAACGGGCCGGGTAATAGGCTAGTAGTATATATATTTGTAATGAACATGGACCGTGTAACTTTTCCATTTTGTGAAGGCTAATTTCATATTGTGCCATGCATTCTATAAAACACTTGATCCATAGTGGCCCGGGTAAATGTTCACTAAGAAATTACTTGAGATATTGGAATGTAATATTTCCATTGATCAGACCCAGAAGAAAATGGACAATCAGATTTGTATCTTGAACAAAAACAATAACTAAAACGTAATCGAACCACAACGCAAGACTTTTACGTGGTATCCTCGTTCTTTGACTGAACGAGACTAATTCACGGTGAGCTCGGAACGAACTCACGGCTAAGAATATTATTGATTGACTTCTCGTACTTGCATACCACACACACGGTAGCTAAGTATATATAGGACTAGGGTTGACAGCCCATAACAAGGCCTACTGGGATACGGATCCAGTGGCTAATGACAAGGTGAGCATGACAAGGTAAGTCTTGTTCCACAAGGACTAGGACACGCGGTTACTTCGACGACTAGCAACTAGAAGTAACCGTAATACTCCCCCTCAAGATGAGGCATGGATATCGAACATGCTCATCTTGGAAAAAAGATGAGAAAACTGATCATGACTGAGACCCTTAGTGAAAATGTCGGCCGGTTGATCTTGACTAGAAATCTTAGTAGGCGCTATATCGTGAGACATAACCCGTTCGCGCACGAAGTAGCAATCCATTTCCACATGCTTTGTGCGCTCATGGAACACCAGGTTAGCTGCGATGTGAAGGACAGCTTGACTGTCACAATGTAGAGTAGTAGGAAACAACTGCGGGACACCAAGATCAGACAATAACCAGCGCAACCAGATGATCTCACTAACCGTGCTTGCCATAATACGATACTCCGCTTCTGCAGACGATCGAGCAACCACTGACTGCTTTTTGGTTCTCCAAGACACGGGCGCAGAACCTAGTTGGATGAAGTACCCCGTAGTGGAACGTCTGGTGGTAGGACAACCTCCCCAATCTGCATCACAAAAGGCGGTAAGAACAAGTGAATCATGAGCGGGAAAGTACAACCCCCGGCCTGGCGATTGCTTGAGATAGCGGAGGACTCGATTGGCAGCATCCACATGAGCCTGTGTAGGCGCATGTACAGCCTGACTAAGCAGATTAACAGCGTAAGCAATATCAGGACGAGTGACTGTCAGGTATAAAAGACGACCAACCAGTCGACGAAAACCGGAAGGATCAGCAGCTGGCGGCGAAGGAAGGCGACCCAGCTGATGATTTTGTTCGACTGGTGAATGACAAGGCCGTGTACCCTGAAGTCCTGAATCCGCTAGTATATCCAAGACGTACTTTCACTGGTTGAGGACGATCCCTTTACTAGAACGGGCGACCTCTATACCCAAGAAATACTTCAAATTGCCCAAATCTTTGATAGTAAAGAGATCATGAAGGAAATATTTAACCTTCTGGATAAAAGACAGATCATTACCAGCGAGGATGACATTATCTACATAGATGAGTGCTGCTACGAAGGAAGTACCCGATCGATAAATGAACAATGAATAATCTGCTCGACTCTGTTGGAAGCGAAGCTCAAGCAGTGCTGATGAAAATTTTTTATACCAATTCCTAGAAGCCTGACGAAGTCCATATATAGACTTATTAAGTCGACAAACACGAGTGTCCCCCTTTGCAGCGAATCCCGGAGGAATTTTCATGTACACTTCTTCATTCAAATCCCCATGCAAAAAAGCATTATTCACGTCTAGTTGATGAAGATGCCACCCTTTACTGACTGCAACAGCGATAAGACAACAAACGGTGACAAGCTTGGCAACCGGGGCGAAGGTATCATGATAATCTATACCTTCGATTTGAGTAAAACCCTTTGCAACAAGTCGTGCCTTGTAGCGTTCGACTGAACCGTCGGAATTAAACTTAATCTTATAAACCCACCTGCAATCAATCGCTTTCTTTCCCGGTGGCAAAACTACTAGAGTCCAAGTATTGTTTGCTTCCAAAGCGAAGATTTCAGCTTGCATCGCATCCCGCCAGTACTTGCATCGAACAGCTTGCCAAAAGAAACGTGGTTCATCAAGTTCAGAGATGCGAGTGAGATAGGCTCGATACTTGTCGGACACACGAGTATATGTGACATAATTACTCATGGGATATAAAACTTGGTTAGAAGAAACCAGCTCTGGCATTTCAACATCAAATCCTGAAAACCTCACTGGCAGCTGACCTTGCGTCTGCCTGTCGCTGCGCCGAAGAGGAATTGGCTGCTGAGCACCGTTGGTGACTTCATTTGGTGGACTTGAAATGGCAGGCGGCCAATTGGGACTTGCGGAGCTGAATTGCGCGCCATCATTCCCTGAAGACAAGGGCGGGGAACGCGGTGCTTGATCCTGAGAAGAGCTTGCCCCATCTTGGGGAATGTCATCATCGATGGACTCCCTGGGATAAACCCCATTACTTGGGTCATTTGAAGGTGTGATTACGTGCATGGGAGTTCCATCATTCCCTGCATGGTGACTTGGTGACCTCGCAACACTTAGGTCCTTAAAAGGAAAAGTGTCCTCAATAAAAAACACATCGCGTGACGTATAAATGTACTTATGCTGGAGATCATAGATACGATAACCTCGTTGACTTGCAGGGTATCCAACCAAAAATTCGGCACGTCCTCGTTTATCAAACTTACGCAAGTGACTATGCGTATCCTTAGCATAGACTAAACACCCAAAACTACGAAAATGACTGTATTTGGGAGTTTCGCCAAGGAGAACTTGATACGGACTTTGATTTTTTATGGAGACAAGAGGTAGCCGATTAATGAGATAGGCAGCCGTCAAGATACACTCTCCCCAAAACCTCCGTGGTAAATTAGCATGAAACATCAGAGCACGAGCTGTATCGAGAAGATGCCGATGCTTTCGCTCCACAAATCCATTTTGTTGGGGCGTATCAGTGCACGTCGTCTGTAAGATGATGCCTGTGGTTTCATAATAATCGCGTAAGGTGGAGGAGATAAACTCCTGTCCATTATCTGCCTGTATGCGTCGAACCTGCTTCTTGTACTGAGTTATGACTTGTTGACAGAACATGATCAAGTATCGCGCTGTCTCTGACTTATATTTCATCAAATAGACCCAAACACAACGACTGTAATCATCGACGATGGTAAGGAAATAATGAGCACCAGTAAAAGAACTCTGTCGATATGGACCCCAAATATCGACGTGAATTAATTCAAAACAACTAGCTGTCTTAATACCACTAGCCGGAAAAGGTAATCTTGTTTGTTTTGCCTCAAGGCATGAAACACAAGGTGCCGAATGATGAATAATGGAACCAGAAATTAAAGACTTCAATTGAAATAACTTCTCCGAAGATGGATGCCCAAGCCTTGAGTGCCACATCTCCGTCTCACGTATCGCTCGAGTTGCTACCAAAGCTATTAGACGATCATGCTGCAGTAACCTCAAGTGATACAAGCCTTCCACACGCCTAGTTGTGCCAATCATCCTCTTGGATTTGTAATCCTGAACGACACAGAAATCATCGATGAAAACCAACGCGACTAATGAGTCTGCTGTGAATCGGCTTACTGACAATAAGTTGCATTGAAAATCTGGGACATAGAGAACATGATTAAGAATTATCCCATTATCCAATTTTGCCGTCCCTATTCCACGAACTGGTACGCCATTACCGCTGGGAATTTTAACCTGCAAACCCTTGCTCGATTCGAGCTCACCCAAAAATAAATTGATATCTTTAGCAATATGTTCATTGCAACCCGAATCAATGACCCAAGAGTTGACGGAAGAGGAAAAATTACCTGCCATGTTGGAGACTGGCGCTGCTAACGTTGTTGGCTCTGAATTTAAGAAAGCTCGTAACTGGGCAACTTGAGCTTCGGTCAGACCAGGAATGACTGAGTCATGTGACTCTACTTGAGCTGCGTGGGGATCACGATTGCTCGACCTGCCTACCCCGCGTCCGCGACCGCGTCCTCGACGACAAGCAACTAGAAGTAACCGTAATATTGAGACAGGTCACACGCCTACCCAAGAAGTACTTCGACGACAAGCAACTAGAAGTAACCGTAATATATCTTGATGACTTCTGACCGTATTAATAACTATACAGTCTTTACGACTAGCGGTTGAGCATTCACAAACATGTCCATATCTCAGTTTGAGTTTTTTTCCATACCTTCGTAGATGTTGTGAGGCTTCTTACACTCTTTCTAATCAGTTCATCGATCGTTTGCGAGATCTAGCTTCTCACCATTGTATTCAATCTCATCCAGGGCCATTCTATTCATCTCCAGACTGTGCTCTAGGATCGTACCATCAATAAATCATAACTAGTCAATTGACCCGCGCTTTGCAGCGAGGAATATGATAAATTATCTATTTTATATAGTTTTCTTCAAAATATCAAAACTTGAGAAAAACTTGTTATAATTCATTTGTTTTCGTGTATTTACCAAACTAATGAGGATCTTTATGCGAAACTTGAGCCAAATTTCACCAACAAAAAGGGAAAGATGAAAGAGACAACTATAACAAACATTATAGATCAGAATTGATGCGCCCTCTTACCCAGAGCATCCCCAACATAAAACTCTGTCATCTAGTTCTAAGTACTTCTAAGTTCTAACACATAATTCATACTGATGATCCAGAAGTATTGTATCATTTTCATCCATTGAGATTGGGTCCACTTATCATTAGTTGAGCTATCCCTACCCAAGAAGTTAAAAGCAATGAATTAAATGATGAAATTAACCATCAGGTACTAAACTAAACACTATTACCTTTTTCCAACATACGAATATATTTATACCAAAGAAAAACATATGAATATACATTGATATATTAGTTTTGAATTTTGATGTCTTGTCATCTTTCGTTTCCTTCTTCTGAGCAATGAGGTCTCAGGCAAATCATTTTCAAATGCATAAGATACTCTTGATATAATTGTGCTGTCTAAAGCATGAAGACCCCTCCTCTTCTTTAGTCCAGCCTGATCAACAACAGTCTCTTCCATACATGAACCCCTCAAATCCGCTGGACCTGGATCTAGCGCATGTTTTTGGCTTCGCTGAATTCATGAGAATCAATTAACCATAGCACAAAATCTAACTCTAGAAAAACTCTGAACTTCAGCAATATTACAATTTATTTTGCATAACAGTACAATCTAACAACTGAAATTGAGAGAAGCCAAATGGATAAAAGGAATCACACTATGCATAAGACAAAAAAAAAAAAAAAGGTAAGAGAGAAACTATGAAGGAAAACAGAATCGCAACTTTGGTTTTTGGCAATCATAAAAATGGTAATTGTCTATATGCTTGCTTCTTTCTACTCAATTTCTCTACTGGATTTGGTTCAAAACTGGTCTAGTAGTTCCTTGCCTCCCATAATCAACCAAGGAAGTTCTGAAAAGTTCTAGAAATTTTAAACATGAATGACAGCGGTTGGTGGGAATTAGTGCTAGGCAGATAAAAATTGCCAGGATAATTATAGGTGACCAAAACTCTGGTTGTTTATCTGCTTCTATAAGAAACTTACCAATGCTTAAGTAAGGTCACAATTTATATTGGTAGCGGAAGCAAGGGGAATATGTGCCTAAACAGTAATGACATTACGAAACAGAACATGTTCTACAACTGGTTACAGAACATCAACAATTAGAACGTCAAATAAAACGCAGATGCTAATCAACCACCTTAAATTTTAGCATTGAACTATCTGCCTATTGGAATTTGGCTTGACAGAGCTTGGATCGATCCAGACAATTGAAAGAACAAACACAAAATAAGGATCAACACTAATTCAAGTAGCTAGGCTCTATGTTCCATAACTCAAATAGAGCTTACGATGCCAAATTGTAACTAAAATCCAATCACTACTTTGCAAGTAAGTGCTAACTAATATACATAGAAATGAAGAACTTTACAAATCTTTACATAAGAGTCGTAGTATAAGAACTAAGGGTTATAGGTGTACAGGATGAGTATTACCTATTAGAGAGCTATCTATAGCAGTGATGACTCAGCAAACTGCATGCAATCTCAATTTGGCGTTGGGTAGGTACAAATTTCATGCTCAATCGTGTTGCTTTGAAGAAGCTTCAAGTGTTTCTCTAAAGAAGAGCTTAAGTAAGAAAAGATTAAAAAACTGGAGATGAAGGAGCTTCTGTAAGTCCAAAACCATGTTGACTGTCAATCCCTAAATTAAAAAGGTTCCACAATTTGCAATCTAACCTCTTGAACCCCGACTTATATCAACTATGGGTTGTACTTCCCACTCTTAATCGACATTTCACGTCACTCTGCCTTGAGTTGTAATTGGTGGAGAAAGGGGAAAATCCCAGGAGTAGTAAGAGTAAAGGTGAAAAAATCTGAGTCGACCGTCGAGATCGATTGTTGACAGCTCCGAGATGAGATATCGGACTTCGTTCGCCGGCATCCGTTCGGTGGGTTTGGAGATGGAAGTTCTGTCATCGCCACCAAGTGTGGCGTTCAGTGGGTTCAGAGGTATCAAAGAGAGGGGAATCAAACGACGTTCGACCGCTGCTCTCCTTTAATTTGATTGCACAGGAAGGGAGAAGAAGGTGTTTTGCGGAGAAAGAAAAAATTAAAAAGAGAGATAAGGAGAGAGGAGGAAGAGGTGATTGCAGATAAGGGGAGGAGAAGGGTTTTAGCGGAGAATGAAAAAATGAAAAATTTAAAAGGAGAGAGAAGAGAAGAGAGGATTAATTAAGAGGATCCAACGGCTGATATTAGGTAGACAGTCAATTGATCAACGGTAATGCTTAGCCTACCCAAAGTGATATTCATGGGTTTAGGTTAGAACTGGCTGCTGCTGATACTAAGGTACCTGTGAACAGTAATCCCGATTTTTTTCTTAATGAACAGTACCCGAAATTTTAGTTAACTTGTGGTATAATTATTAGAATTATTAAATCACAAGTTTGCACAAATTTCCATAAAAATCCGGCTACTGTTCCTTAGGAAAAATACGGGAATCACTATTCACAAGGGAGTTATTGATTCTCTGCGGTCAGATTTACATGAGCCTACGTTAATCTTCATTGGGCTGGCCAAGTTGCATCATTGACTTTACATTAGATACAAAGACTTAACATCAAACCGGCTCCACCTGATCGCTTTCTTTTCCATGCAATAAAAAAAAAGATACATTTCCTGTGACAATAAATATTAAAATAACCAATACACAAAAAAAAAATCAATTGAAAAATTGAGGGTCTTGATTTCCCGTATTTCTCACCTCCCGAACCAAATGAACTGCATGCCGGCGAACGACGACGGATATTCATTCCCTCACGTGATACTCTATTCATCCTCACCTTCTCCTTCCCTGAAGTTTCGGCTACCCGGGTCGTTTAGCCTGAACATTTCAGTAGCACAAAAAAATTAATCCGATTAATTGAGGATTTTCATGAGAAGAATCAATTTTGTGTGTTTTAAACAATCAGTGGCAAGCCATGCCGGATGAAAAAGAGACCATGAAGAGGCTGTGTGTATGTTCTCCAAAGAAGTCACGTACGGTAACCGGTTTTCTGTATGCTTGATCGAGCCTTTAATCATGTCGGGCTGCCAGAAGTATCTTTCACAGGCTTCCACAATAATGCTTCGGCCCATAGCTAACTACCATATCATATGTAAGGTGAATCATCGTTTTACTTTCTGAACATGTGATGTGAGAGGAGACCATTGATTACCAAAGCATTTAGAATTTCAATGGATTGAACTTGAATCATCAACAGATAGTGAAAAACAAGACAAACACAAATCTATAGCTATTTACCTGGGTTGTTTAAACCAGCAAAATAGCGGCAGCAGCTTGGATTCCCTGGCTGTACTGTTGTAAACTCCGTGGATTTCACAGTTGGAAAATATGGTGATGAGAACATGATGTTCAAATTGAACGACCCTGTATTCAACAGTAAGGACCAAATCATTTAGGTAACTCGAATTACTGTTTTGCTTCCATTAACTTCCAAGTGCAAGAACCACGATTTGTCCAATGGTAGAGCTAATGTAGAGTTGGTTGGACCTATAGCCAAAAAACGGATTGTCGAAAGCAAGAAGGAAACATAGAGATTAGGGCCATAACCCATGTCCGGAAAGATAGTCAGTGACTGGAACCATCAACTGGCGCACTTGATCAATTGAGTTGGCATTCACTTCTTCTCCTCCTCTTCCTCCTATTACTTTCTCCCCTGTTTTAGTACCCAAAAGAACAAGAAGTCAGAAAAACAGAGCATTAACTTGCTACTGGAATTACTCAGCTGGATCTTCATCTTTCCAATAGATTGAGAAGGGTTTCTATAATTTGTTTTCTTTACCAATTTCAAAGAGAGATGTTTACTGATAAAGAATTGAAGATGAGGTGAATTATACATGAACATGATGAATGGGCAAAAAAGATGTGTGCATGAACTACAAGTGTCTTTATTTGCCATGGAAAAATGCCACCTGGCTGTTCCCAAGGATCCAATTCTTCTTAGACGAGGCAATATAAGGAATTTTCCCTTCTTTGTTTTAATTTAATCTCTAATTATACTTTTCATGGTTTGATTTGTGGAATAACTCTAATTAGTTTTTTTCATGGTTTGCGGTTGTATATTTTTAAATGGTACACTTACTTGCTTGCAACTAAATTGCACAATTACAATAGATTACAATGGAAAATAATGATTGATGGTTCAATTAGAATGACCGACTCATTCATCATTATCTTATCAGTTTTGAAACAAGATTCTATCACTATATACCTTCCAGTGTTGTAACAGTACTCCATCATCAATGAAAAAATTTCGACAACAAAACGATTAACCGGTTAGCAATTACCTTATTTGTATACTACTAGAAAGGTTTCAATATTAAACAAGAACTTTGTTACCATTTAACCCAAATTAATATCAGCATGACCTTTTGTACTAAGCACATATATACATTATTTTTTAGCGCTCTAAAACCGTGTAAACAATTTCTTGCTGCTTTGGGCTGGCTGAAGAAAGAAAATGTCCATTGAAGGAAAAGTTGTTTATTTGAAGTTTATATCGTTCTAAGTAATAATGAAAACGAAAGGTTGATTTACCAAACCAAGCCACAATAACTAACTTTTGACAAATTCAAAATAATTTTTTAACAATTTATCATGATTATTCTTTGTTGTAGATCGTGGACCAATTAACTGAAAGTCATAATTACTTCGTACAAGAAACAAAGAATCTTGAAAAGTTGGTTCGGTACTTTTTTTACAATGTAGTTTAATGATTTGTGAAATTAAACTTTATTGTAATTTATGTGAAAAAAGAAAGAAAAACAACAATTACAATGAAAATATTATAAATATTAAAACGAAAAGAAGAGACGATCGCATAACATCAGTAAACTAGGTATTCCGTTGCAGAGCACGGGTCAAATAACTAGTATATTATTAAAGAGCAAGCTAGATTAGTTAAGGAGCGGGTGGTTAGTTGTTGAAACAGTTCAACACTACTACTGACCGACGCAACATAGAAATTGCCCATCTATCCTTCCACATTTATTGGGACGCAACATAAGTATTTTTCCATCTATACTTTCGTATTTATTGGACTATAGTGGTATAAGATCCGTAATAACGTTTTTTCTTATAAATTGATTCCTAACACACCATTTATTTATAATCGATCAATTGGCTAGCTAAGCTACCACAAGTTCCATTTTGCCCCCTGCCTTACATTGACAGCTTGCTTATTCACACATATATGCATGCATGGAAGAACCAGCAGAGCAACAAGAAATGATTATGAAGAAGCCTAGCGTTTCCTTCTTCCGCCTGTTCTCTGCCGCCGACAGGCTCGATTACGCCTTGATGTTCTTGGGCAGCGTTGGTGCTTGTGCCCATGGCGCCGCCATCCCTCTCTTGTTTCTCTTCCTGGGTACCTTGCTGGATTCCTTGGGACTCTTGGTTTCGGATCCTCACCAAATGACCACCAGGATCTCCGAGGTACCTACGTAATTAATTAAATAAAGTAGTGTTCGATGAAATGCCTCAAAGAGATCAAAATACAACAACTTGAGGGCTAGCTAGCTGTTCTAACTGTCAGGGATGTGTTGGTAATTGGTTTTGCAGAACGCACTGTATTTAGTGTACCTGGGGCTCGGTGTTTTCGCAGCAGGATGGATGGGTACTATTACTATTACTATTACTATTACTATATATAGAGCTCATTTATTTGTTCTGTTAGTAACATTATTTTCCTTTGTACGTATACATGCGTGCGTTGAAAGTTGTTAAAATAATGGTGGATGGTTAATGAATTCAGGTGTTGCGTTGTGGATGCAAACTGGGGAAAGGCAGACAGCTCGTTTGAGGCTGCAATATCTGCAATCCGTCTTGAAACGGGACATGAACTTCTTTGACACTGAAGCTAGAGATCTCAACATCGTGTTTCACATCTCTAGTGACACCATCCTCATTCAGGATGCAATAGGTGACAAGGTAATAAGATCAAATCCAGTTTTTTATTCAATGTTCGTCTCTTTTCCTCTGAAAATACGAATAAAAAAAACATCATTATCAACTCGGGCTACTCTCTCTAGTCAATTTACAAGCCTTCATGAATTATTGTCATTGTTTTAAGAATAACGCAACATTCCTTATATTATAAAATTCGATAAATTATTTAGTTGATGGTGAAGCCAAAAGTGAAATCATTATATTCATTACCCAATTTGGTTATGAAACTTGTACCGAGTTGCAACTGTTTTATTTGATGTTGGTTTGTTTGTGGCAGGTAGGGCATGCTCTGCGTTACCTTGGTCAATTCGTGGTGGGTTTCTTTCTGGGATTTGCTTTTGTGTGGCAGCTCACCCTCCTAACCTTAGCCGTCGTTCCACTGATCGCCGTTGCTGGCGGAGGTTACACAATAATCATGACAACTCTGTCTCAGAAAGGGGAGGCTGCCTATGCTGAAGCTGCAAAAGTTGCAGAAGAGGTAAACAAAACAAATAAAAAAAAGCAAACTTTACTTCCTCATCCTCACAAATTTAAGGTTTATATAAACTTTACTTCCTCATCCTCACAAAATACCACGTTTCGAGTACCAGACGAAACTATTTTCACTTTGCACAACACTGATATTGTTGATGTGAACCACAAAATTACCACGTACGTATAAAATGATAAATCCGCAATAATATCACATAAATAACCACGGTGTGATTCACAAATATGTTGCCTAGAGTACTCAACATACTTAACAAAAAAAAAACAAATTTTCTTTTCAGGCTATATCGCAAATTCGTACCGTCTATTCTTTTGTTGGAGAGGATGAAGCAGTGAACTCATACTCAAAAACCTTGAAGAAAGCACTGAAATGGGGTCAGAAAAGCGGAGTTACGAAAGGAGTTGGGATAGGTCTAACGTATGGACTGCAGTTTTGTGCGTGGGGATTGCTTCTTTGGTATTCCAGCATACTTATTAGCCACAAGAAAACCAATGGAGGGAAAGCCTTTTCCACAATCGCCAATGTCATCTTCAGTGGATTGTAAGTTGTTGTCAGCACGTCAATTTCATTATTATTATTATTATTATTATTATTTGTATGAAATTTGACCACTTAAAAGTTAAAACGTATATGAAATTTAAGTTCACTAAAGGGGTATAATTACTTGTTTGGCCTCGACCACAATTGGTTGCAAAAAGTAAGTTTATGCAATGGATGTTGGGTTACTGTAGTGTGCGGAGGACAAGTTCTGGGTGAAAGAAAAGTGGATTAGGAAAAAGGATTTTGAGACTGAAACAACGGATTAACCTTTGAGATATGAAGTTTTGGTTGCGAAATTTAAACAAATTTGGTGACGATTATTTTCATTGCAAATAATTAATTAGAGACTGTACCGCAACCATCACCTTTGTGGCAGAATATTGTTCTTTAACTACATAGTTAGAATTATTCGATAACCAACTTCTCAACCACTTAAAAGATTATATCACATACCATCATCCACTAACTAATTACCTCTTTGTTATCTGAAATTTAAGTTCTATTTAAGATCAACTATTGAGAGATTACGTTGAGTCTTGCTTAAGAAAAACAAGTGTCGTGTGTTTTCTACAGTGCTCTTGGTCAAGCTGCTCCAAACCTTATTGTCATTGCCAAAGCTCGAGCCGCTGCCTCCAACATTCTCACCGTGATTGAATCAGAATCGAGCTCAAATTGTTCAAAACTCGACGACGAAGACAAACAACTTATGTTACCTATGGTGTCGGGGGAGATTGAGTTTAAAAATGTCTCTTTTTCTTACCCTTCAAGGCCAAATAGTTTGGTCTTTGAAAGCTTGAGCTTCTCAATCACTGCAGGGAAGATATTTGCAGTTGTTGGTCCTAGTGGATCAGGAAAGAGCACTGTTGTATCCATGGTACAACGTTTTTATGATCCAATTTCAGGTATGGTATGCAGTTAATCTTCATTAAAAAAAATCACATAGGAAGCATTGCCAACTTATGAAGTTGTTCACCAGGTAAAATCATGTTAGATGGTCATGACTTGATGAACCTTCAGTTGAGATGGTTGAGACAACAAATGGGGTTAGTAAGTCAAGAGCCAACACTATTTGGCACATCAATATTTGACAACATCTTGTTTGGCAAAGAAGATGCAAACATGGATCAAATCATCCAAGCTTCAATAGCCGCCAATGCACACTCTTTCATTCAACAGCTTCCTGATGGTTACAACACACAGGTCTTCATTTCTGAAAAATGTCTAGATGATTTTGACGATCTCATTTCGTAATAACAATTTCCAAAATGGTTTCATTTTGTTCAGGTTGGAGAAGGAGGCATCCAACTCTCTGGTGGACAAAAGCAGAGAATCGCCATAGCAAGAGCAGTACTGAGAAACCCTAAAATATTACTTCTAGATGAGGCCACCAGTGCTCTTGATGCAGAATCTGAGCTCATTGTCCAACAAGCGCTTGACAATATCATGTCACAAAGAACCACGATCGTCGTGGCTCATCGATTGTCCACTATTCGAAACGCCGATACCATCATGGTCTTGAAGAGCGGGAAATTCTTGGAAAGTGGAACCCATTCAAATTTGATGTCCAAGGGCGGAGAGTATGCAACTTTGGTGAGACAACAGGCATCCAAAAACAGCAAAAATCCACGCTCGTTTAATGAATCCGCTTCCATCGGTGGGTCTAGCTTTCGTGAATCGTTCAACTCGGTGCTAGAATCAAAGGCAGATGAAGATTGTTTGAAAGATAAGAATTCAGTGTCCCCGTCAATTTGGGCCCTCATGAAGCTGAATGCACCAGAATGGCCTTATGCTGTTCTTGGTTCATTAGGTGCCATCCTAACAGGAGTCCAAGTTCCTCTATTCGTTCTTGGACTTTCTCACATCTTTAATGCGTATTACTTACCGGATCTCTCTGAAATGAGGGAAGTAGTCAATACAGTTGTTATAATATTTGTTGTTGCTGGTGTCGTCACGGTGCCTATATACCTCCTGCAACATTACTTCTACACCGTGATGGGCGAGAACATCACATCTCGCGTTCGCTTGTCAATGTTCTCAGGTTCATCTCACCTCATGGCCTCTTTTCCCACTTATTTACTGTTCAACTTCCTTCGTGATACCTTTAAGTTTCTGAAAGATTTGATGTTCTAATCAACTGTAGCTATTCTTTCCAATGAGATTGGATGGTTTGATGCGGAGGAGAACAACGTTGGTTCCCTGATCTCAGCCCTGGCTGCAGATGCTACTTTAGTAAGAAGCGCACTGGCTGATCGCCTCTCGACTATAGTCCAAAATTCGGCATTGATGGTCACCTCATGTATTATTGCATTTACCCTGAACTGGCGCATTGCATCCGTTGTTGTTGCCACATTCCCTCTCCTTCTTGCATCGACCTTAACCGAGGTGAGAGGTACTACTCGAGACCTCAAATGAACCAATAGCTTGGATATGAACTAACGATAAGCATATTGTCATGGTATTCAAATTCTATAGTCAATTCCTAAAATCATAATTATCATCTTGCACATATAGCCAAAATGTAGCTCGATATTTTTGTCCTTATCTTCATAGTAGTTTATAATTATTTATGGCCTTCTTAACTCAGTAGTTCAAGGAATCTAATAAGGTATATAGTGGTAAAAGTTCCACCTAATTCCATGCCATAAGCTAAAAGATGTTCAATATAAAAAAGTAGGTTTTTACCAAAAAAAAAAAAAAAGTAGGTCAGTTGCTTCCATCAAAAGACAAAAAAGGTAGGTCATTGAGCAATTATGCTTCATAATAAATTAAATGAGTTCTTTTTGTTTTCAAACATATGTGGTTGCCATTAATATTTACCAACTTCCTAACTTTTCGAATAATAAGGACTATACCAACCAAAAGAATGGATGCTAAAAATCATGGTTTCTAGTTTTTTATCATTAACAAAAAAAATTCATTGTTTCTAAAATATTGTATTATTGTTCTATATATTAGAGGCACCCAGTTGATATGATAAATTACTGGTTCTACTGATATTTACAGCAACTATTCCTCAAGGGCTTCGGCGGTAACTACAGCGCATACGCCAGGGCAAACTCCGTCGCCAGTGAAGCCGTCGCCAACATCAGAACCATGGCTGCATTCGGCGGCGCAGACAGAGTCGCATCCCAATTCTCTCTCAAACTCAATAGGGCAAACAAACTATCCCTCCTGAGAGGACACATTTCAGGTTTTAGCTACGGCCTCTCCCAGCTCCTCTGCTTCTGGTCCTACGCTCTTGGCCTCTGGTACATCTCCGTCGTGATCAACGACAAGCATTCCAATTTCGGGGACGCCATCAAAACTTACAATGTCCTTGTCTCCACGTCTTTCTGCACGGCCGAGACCCTGGCCATGGCGCCGGATATCGTCAAAGGCTCGCAGGCTCTCCGTTCTGTCTTCTCCATTCTCAACAGGAAACCCAATATCGAATCCGACGATGTCTCGTCGAGAATCGTGGCGGGTGTCAAGGGAGATATCGAGTTCAGGAAAGTCTGCTTCAGCTACCCAGCTCGACCTGAAGTCCCGATCTTCGACAAGCTCAGTCTCAGAGTCTCTGCAGGCAAAACCCTAGCAGTCGTGGGACAGAGCGGGTCGGGCAAAAGCACAATCATCTCGCTAATCTTACGATTCTACGACCCGATTTCCGGTACCATCCTGATCGACGGATCCGACATCAGGACACTCAACCTGAAATCACTGAGGGAGAGGATCGGGCTGGTCCAGCAGGAGCCTGCCCTGTTCTCCACAACAATCTACGACAACATCAGATACGGAACTCCAGGAGCATCAGAAATCGAGGTAATCACAGCAACCAAGGCATCAAACGCACATGAATTCATCACCAGCATGCCCCAAGGTTACAGGACACATGTAGGGGAAAAGGGGATTCAGCTTTCGGGCGGTCAGAAACAGAGAGTGGCCATCGCCAGAGCAATTCTGAAGGACCCTGCAATTTTGCTGCTGGACGAGGCAACGAGCGCGCTGGACACGGCGTCTGAGAAATTGGTTCAGGAAGCACTTGATAAGTTGATGGAAGGGCGGACAACGATCCTGGTGGCTCACAGGCTTTCGACGGTGAGGGATGCAAATGCAATTGCTGTGATCAAGGATGGGAAGGTGGGTGAGATTGGGAGCCATGAGAGGTTGATGGGGACCGAAGGGAGTGTTTATAGGCAGCTGGTTAGCTTGCAGCAGGAGGAGAAGGAGACGGAGGGGTGTTAGAGGTTGAATGTAGGACGAATTGCGAATCAAGTTTTGAGGTTCATGGTGGAGGGATTCTCTTGACTGATAATTGTTGTTGATGCATATGGAATAAATAAATAAAAACCTAGAGGAATTGTGAAACGTACTTGAGAGTATAGTGTAGGAAAGATTGAGTGGTGATATGATAACTTTGTCTTTTGATGGTTTTGCTTTTGTTATTAAGTCGGTGATCATGGCGCATGGGAATGGTGGACAACGGTCTTTTGGTATTGAGATTGATCATGGCGCATGCTCAGAATGATGATTATGAGGCGGGTGCACTCAGTGCACCCAAAAATGTGGGTGCGCCGAATACGCCCCCTAATAAATATATAATGATAATATCAGTAATAATAGAAACCGCGGGTTTCTATCATACCCTCCCCCTGAAATCAACCTTGTCCTCAAGGTTGACCAAATTGACATCTTCCTCTGTCGTGATCGTGCGATTCGCGCGTCGACTCGCCCACTCCTCGCGCTTTCTTTTCTTCCAATCCTGCTTCAACTCCGATATTGGGCTTCTTCCACCTACTTTCTTTTGTTGATTTAATTCTTCGATTTTCACTTCTATGGGCCCACTGTTTGCTTCCTTGACGATTTCAAACTTCAACAGCTCCGCTTTTGTTAGGATAACAATCCAGCAACTCGAGGAACCTAATGGTTCATTTTTGTTTAAGAATTCATCCTTAAACACCAACTCATCAAGGCCTTCATACACTTTCCTTGGAGCTAGCCCATGTATTATTTCTCTAATTGTTTTTGGGCTCTGTTCTTTTAAAAGCCCACCTAGCAACTCCTTTAGCCCACCATTCTTTCCCTCTAAACCCATTCTCTACAATTGGCAGCTAACTTTGAGCCCAATCTGTTCTAGCACACTCAGCCCATAGACAAGCTCGGCCCATTTTTCCCCAACCTTCAGTCCACGTTTCACGTACATCGGCCCACTTTGTTGATCTTCCTTTTGTTTACTCTGCTGGCGGGGCAGACCCAGGAAAAATCCAAGAAAACTCTCCTCACGGCCCATCCTTTGACGAATGCTTATCTGGGCTTTCTCTAAAAGATGACACACTAATCTTAGTCCATCCAATGAGGCAGCCCCATCTGCTTGGCCCGATCGGGAGAGCCGCTGCTGTCGTGCCCCTCAATCCGAATCAGGAGGCCTAGGGTTTTTGAAAACACAGCTGCCACCATCCTCCTCCTTCATCTTCCTCATCGCGCCGCCCGCCGTCGATGCCTCCTCTTCCGCCGTCAACTCCTCCTTCTCCGACCAACGCACCCGGCGGCGAGGCTGCCTCTCCCCGCCGTTCGATGCAACAGCTGTCGCCGCCAGCCGTGGCATGATCTTTCCCATCGCGCTGGTCCTGGACTCCGCCTGCCTGGCCTTAGTCGCTGCCAGAGATCGTGCCGCCTCTTCTCCCTTCGCGACCGACGGGCAGATTGCCTCGCCGGATTCTCGAGCAGAGCGCGGAGAGGTGATGCCACCGGCGCATCTCTCCCTCTCTGTCACCTCCTTCGCCCGTGCTTTCCGTCGGCGGTCGATTCTGACGTCGAGATCCGGCTTCCACTTCTTCTTCTTCTTCCTCTTCCTCGGCGAGTAGAGAGTCCCGCCGTCGTCGTCCTCGTTCTTCTTCTTCTTCTTCTTAAATTTCCTGCCCTCGATTGGAATTGTCAATGGGATTGGGGTTATTCCGGATATTACCTCTTCAAAATCCAGATTCGGTGCAGGCTCCTCAAGGCTCGGTTCTTCCATCCCGACAGGCTGCCTTGTCCTCGACCTCCTCCTGTCTCCAGTCAAGCCCTTCCACGGCTCCTTATTCTCCAGGTTTGCCGGCAGCTCAACTTCTTCTTCTCCTGGAGCGTCGCCGGCTCTTCCTTCCTCTTCACTTCTTCCGGATCGGTGAGCTTTGATGAGCTCATGATGGCTCTAATACCAAATGATAGAAACTTATTTCTAGTGTTCTATCGATTGTGTTGGAAAATTGGGAATTTAGGGATTTAGAGATAGAATTAGGGATATAGAAGAGAATTTAGGGAGAAGAAGAACAGACAAGAACGGCCGAAGCCTCTAGAGAGAGGATAGACGAGATTTGAGAGAGAAAGAGATTAGGGTTTTGGGGAAGGATGAATTTTCTATTAATTTCTGCTTAATTGAACAAAAGACCCAGAGTACATATTTATAACGAAAGACTCGAAAAACCTAATAGACTAACCTAATATGACTCAAATACTACTAACCTTAATAATAATCCTAATAATAAATATATAATGATAATATCAGTAATAATAGAAACCGCAGGTTTCTATCAAAAGTTCTCAACCACAAATCGCTCTATATAATAAGTGCTCCTCCTTTTGCCACTTCCACCATCAACAAAACGGCCCACAGCAAAGAACTCTGTTTCATCATCAACCACAAAAATGGCATCCGGAAGCAGCAACTGCGAGCCCCAGTTCCCGCCGGAGAGCCAGCCAACTCATCCTGCCAAGGAATACTTGATGAAGCCTCTCCCTCAGCCCCTCAGCCCTAAACCCTACAAACCCTCTAACAAACTCCTAGTAAACTCCCATTCCAAACCCTTCAATTACAACTTCATTTCGTAAAATTAATGCATACATTGTGTTGATGCAGGGGAGGCGACTATGGAATCGGCAGATCGGTGTGCCTACACTTCGCCTTGGAAGGCGCCACAGTCGGGTACACGTATGTCAAGGGCATCGAAGACGTCGACAAGGACGAAACCATCAGACTGATCAAACAAATCAAATGCCCTTCCTCCAGTAGAGACCCGATCGCCATAGCAGCAGACCTGGGAAATGAATCGGAGTGCCAAAGGCTTGTTGACGAGTTTATTAAAGAATACAGGACTATTGACATCCTGGTCAACAACGCGACAATTCAGTACTACACCGACTCGATCGACGACATAACCGAATCCAGGTTGGAGAACATATTCTGGACCAACATATTCGCCTACTTCCTCATGGCGAGATTCTCACTGAATCACATGAAACGAGGGAGCTGCATCATCAACACCACGTCCATCACGGCCTACAGAGGGAACAGCTGTAGCCTGTAAGAGTATGGCATAAGATCCAGCAGAACCTTCTCCCAACAAGTCGAGTTATTGGGTGCAACTGGTTCTTGACATGATATCAGAGCCTAGAACCGAAAGGTCATGTGTTTGAATCTCCACGACCCCCAATATTAACAGTTTATTAAAGCACAAGGTATGGTGGGCCTGTGCAAACTTCAAGCCCATGGGTTGGCTTTCGTTTGAGGGGGCGTGTAAGAGTATGGTATAAGATCCAGCAGAACCTTCTCCCAAAAATTCGAGTTATTGGGAGCAAATGGTTCTTGACATGGTATCAGAGCCTAGAACCTAAAGGTCATGTGTTTGAATCTCCACGACCCCCAATATTAACAGTTTATTAAAGCAGTAGCACAAGGTATGGTGGGCCTGTGCAAACTTCAAGCCCATGGGTTGGCTTTCGTTTGAAGGGGCGTGTAAGAGTATGGTATAAGATCCAACAGAACCTTCTCCCAACAACTCGAATTATTGGGAGCAACTGGTTCTTGACAGCGAGCTGCTGGAGTACAGCGCGACGAAGGGAGCGATCGTGAGCTTTACGAGGAGCTTGAGTTCGAGGCTTGTGAAGCAAGGGATCCGGGTTAATGCGGTTGCCCCGGGACCCATTTGGACGCCGATACAGGTAGCCACGATGCCGCCGGGGAGATCGACCAAGTTGGGATGTGAGGTGCCGATAGAGGGCGGCAGAGGCTTATGAGATCGCGCCCTCGTATGTGTTTTTGGCTTCTGATGATTGCTCCTCTTACTTCACTGGTCAAGTCCTACTTCCCAATGGTAATGTTATAAACGTTTTACTTAACTAGTTGCACCTTACTTTATGAATAGAAAACTTCAACATTTACACTTTTTTTTCAATTGCGTGCAGGGGGCTTGATCGTTAATGCGTAAACCGTTGAATGGCGTTGCAAATAAGATACGAATGGGGATCGTGTTTCTCCCATCAATAATGTTATTGTCACCGTTCACAAAGAAGATATGAATGGTGAATTGATCGTTGTATAGACCGAAGAAAGTCTATTACATGTATGCATGATTTATTCATAAGAACATAGCTTGTTTCATGTGTATCCATCCCACTTAATCAGTGTATCACGAATCATTAGTAAATAAAATACTATCTAGAACTAGAATTAACTAGAGTTGGGACATAAGACTTTACCTCAAGTCGTAATAAGAAAAACATGAACCTTAATTCTTTACATCATATACCTTAAGATCAATTTAGTTAGAAATTATAATCAACGATTCTTATTTATCATAATACATCTAATATGTTATATGTATCATTGTAGGGTTTATAGTGTGTGGCTATGTGGAGTTTAAGGGATTAGTACCTAGGGGTCACTCACAAAAAGTTAGAGTATCGTATCATGTTCCAAAATTCTATTAATTCAAAGTATAAATAGCATTTTCTCACTAAACATATGTAATATCCTAAATTCACTCCAAATATGGAGGAAATCGAATAAACAAATTGGGTGGGTATTGTTATGTGAAATCCAAGTAACACATCGTAAATACAAGGAAAATCACACTTTTATATATGTATCCACCTAGCCCGATTAGTAAGAAGTCTTTTGGGAAGGAATCCATAAGTAAATCAGTGAAGATTTGGGCCAAAGCATATAATATCGTACTAATTGAGCATCTGATTTCAACAACTGGTATCAGAGCAATGGTGTTCGGATCCATGGAGGTTGACTTCAGAGTGGACTCCCATTCGATAAAAGATTAATGTAAGATTATGATAACATTGAAGGGAGGACATGAAGTTCATAGTTCTTGTCTCGAGGGGAGAATTGTTATTGACAATCCAAGTACCACATTGTAAGTACAAGGGAAGGGACATTTGTATATTATTGTCTAGCAATAAACATTAGTAAGAATTCCTTTAGAAGGAACTCAAAAATAAATGTGTGTGAACGTGACACAAAGCTTATTGTCTAGCTAAAAAAATTAGTAAGAAGCCATTTGTAAAAGAACTCAAAAATAAATTCGTGTAAACCTGATCCAAAGCGAACAATATCGTACTAATTGAGCATATGGTTTTAACAAAAATCCTTGGATGTTGCCTTAATTAAGGCATCCACTTCTCGTAAAGCAGAACATTTATTCCCAAGGTGAACACTTAGAACATTATTAGTACAAAATCTTTCTAACAAGTAAGATGAACAAACTGATAAGAAGTATAAATCAAGAACACGAACACTAGATTTACGTGGTTTCCCTGAGAATCAAGACTAGTCCACGGGAGAGGCAGCACTCTACAGAGTCAATCTTATTCAACTTGGTTTATACATAGTACATAGAGGAGGTATTTATACATTAAGGTTACCGCTCAGAAGTAACCCTACTCCTACCTAGTTTGGTAACTAACGTAATAGGGACAATTACATTAAGCTACCTAAACTAAGCACATACATAATTTCAACACCCTCCCTCAAATTGATGATACTTACGCAACATCAATTTGTTAAACAGAAACCAATGATGGCTGGTACCAACTACCTTTGTCAACAAATCTGCAGTTTGATCTTCTATTGACAAATAACTAAGCTGAATGACCCCTTCAGTCACAAGTTGCCTAATATAATGGACATGTGTCTCGATGTGCTTCGTCCGATCGTGTAGAACAGGATTGGTGGCTATTCGAATAGCACTCGTATTATCACCGAACAACTTCATAGGCATACTGCAATCCATGCCCAACTCTCCTATGAGTCGCTGCAACCAGAGCAGTTCCTAACTGACTTCTAACATCAATCTGTACTCTGCCTCTGCCGAAGATTTTGAGACCCGATCCTGTTTCTTACATCTCCATGATACAAATGAGCTCCCGAGCCTTACACACCACCCTGAAGTTGATCGCATCGTGTCAATGCAACCAGCAAAGTCAGCATCTGCAAACGCCTCTAACACGGGTTCCCCTTTAACCGGGAACAAAAGACCAACATCCTGTGTACTCTATAAATACCGCAGCATTCTATGCACTGCGTCTAGATGCATAGTACGTGCCATGCCCATGAACTGACTCACCACATGTACTGCAAAGGCAATGTCAGGCTAAGTCGAACTAAGATACCTGAGAGACCCAACAATGGTTTGATACATAGTTTGATCGTCCAGCGGATCCCCACTAGTTCTACTCAACTTCAAATTTTGTTCCATAGGAGTAGTACACAGATTGCAGTTCTCAAACTGATTTGCTGACAATAAATCCCGAATATACTTCCGTTGACTAACCAAAATACCATGCTTACTTCGCTCAATTTCCAAATCCAAGAAATAAGAAGCCTCTCCAAGCTCCTTAAGCTTAAACGCTTGATGAAGAGACTCAGTGAGCTCCTTAATTCCTGAATGATCATCTCTTGAGATTATCATGTCATCCACATAAAGCAGTAAAACTGTAAGACCATGTACTGTATGTCTTAAGAACAATGAGGGATCTTTCTTACTTTGAGTAAAGCCAGCCTGTACGATCGTACCATGAAACTTCTCAAACCAAGCTCTAGGAGCTTGTTTCAGGCCATACAACGACATTTTTAGCCTGCACATTGTATTCGCATCTCCTTTAGTATAACCAGGGGGCCGAGCCATGTAAATGGTTTCTTTCAAATCTCCATGCATAAATGTATTTTTAACATCCAACTGTACCAGGGGCCAGTCTCGCATAGCAGCTACTACCAGGACACATCTGACTGTCTGGATCTTTGCAACAGGTGCAAATGTCTCTTCGTAATCAATACCAAACTCCTGAGTGAACCCTTGCGCTACTACCCTTGCCTTATGTCTCTCAAGTGTACCATCTGGCTCCATCTTCACATTGTATACCCATTTACTTCCAACCACTGACATCTCAGGAGTACGCTGGACCATATCCCAAGTCTGGTTAACCTCTAAAGCATCTACCTCTTCTACCATTGCTGCATCCCATTCATGAATACCATAAGCTTGTCTATAATTAGCTTGTATAAAGATAGGCTTAGCAGAATAGCCGACATAGTCACTATAGTGCAAAGGGGGTTGCCCTTTGGTTGTACGAGTGGAGCGGCGAAGTTGCTGCTGCTCAACCACATCAACCGCACCCTCTCATCCCCTTTAGACTCGTCATGCATGGAAGACGACGCCATGGAGTTGCTGGATGCAGACGAGTGATCCGTAGAAGAAGCGTGTGAGCACGAACCAGAGGATGAAGATAAGGTAGGCAAACTACCAGCCGGAGAGGAAGATGAATTCGACGGTGACGAGGCAGATGAGGAGGAGCTCGACATGGAGGTGGAGGAAGACGACCCATTGTCACTATCGTCCCCTCCCTGTGAGATACCAGGCGAAGAGAAGGAAGACAGAAAGGCTAAACTCTGTTTTAAAGTCGGCCCGAGAAGAAGAGTCCTTGACGGAATAATACGGTATGTTCTCCATAAACAGAACATGACAAGCAATACGGAGACGGCGACCAACCGGGTCATAGCACAGATAGCCCTTATATCGATCACTATATCCAACAAACACACAACAAACTGTCTTGGGAGCAAGTTTATGGCGCTCTTTACGGGGTAATAAGACAAAGCAGAGGCAGCCAAAAACTCGTCGATGATCATATTTTGGGTGACGCGGAAAGAGCTTATAGAATAGAGAGTGACCGTCCAAGACAAGAGTGACTTGTCTGTTGATCAGGTGCACCACCGTGTTAGCGGCCTATACCCAAAAATGCGCGGGAACTCCAGAGAGAAACAAAAGGGCATGAGTGAGCTCAAGAACATGACGGTTCTTACGCTCCACTAACTCGTTCTGCTGTGAGACCCCAGGACATGACTGTTGTGAGAGTATACCAGCGTATTTGTAGAAGTGAACAAGGTCATTGGAGCTGAATTCTCCTCCCAGATCAGGTCGAATGATCTTGACAGTCTTCTGAAACTGAGTCTGAACCATCCGAACAAAATCCCAAGCATGGGAACTGAGGTCCGATTTGTTCTTGAGAAAGTAGATCCAAGTATAACGGCTATAGTGATTGATGAATAAGGCAAAGTAGAGAAAACCATTGCGGGACGAAGATGGGGTCGGACCCCAGAGATCAGTGTGAACTAGATCAAAGGGAGCAGTATACTCGGTGGTGCTAGGAGAGAATGAAATCTGTGAAGCCTTGGCTTCAATGCAACTCAAGCACGTAGGAGGAGAAAATGAGCTAGTACGGAACTTGACTGGTAACAATCGAGCAGAATGAGGATGTCCCAAATGAAAGTGCCATAAATCCCAAATAGAATCCCATACATCACTATGATTACGAACCGAAAAACTAAAAATCAGAAACTGTGAAGCAGCAGGAGCAACACGCAGACCACCGCCATCTAACACGCCACTATCCTCCCTCCCAAAAGCACCATGCTGCCGAGAATGAAGGGAATCCAGTACGTACACACGACCCTGCTTATGTCCCCGGCCTAGTTCCTTCCTGTCGTCAGATCCTGCACCAGACAACCAGTATTATTAAATCGAACCTCACACCCATCCTCGGCAAGCTGCCCCACAGAAACAAGATTGGGCACTAAGCGAGGAAAATGAAGAGTGCTAGAGAGATGTAACTGAGGTTCCGAGACAAAATCAACCCCAGTATACGAAAGAACCGCCCCATTAGCAACTTGTAACTGGCGAGTGACCGGAGTAAGAGAACTAAATGACCGAATACGACTGGTCATATGATTAAAAGCAGCCGAGTCAAGAAGCCAAGTCCGAGAATAACCTACAGAGTTCCCAGTAGCAAATGTTGAACTCATCACCTCCTGAAGAGCTTCCTGGAAGAGCTTGGTGAGTTCAGCTTTGGACACAGCAGTTGTAGGAGAAGAACCAGCCCCGGGACGAACCGGAGGAGCAGCAAGATCCGTGGTAGCAAA